GGTCAGGCGGCACACTCAGGTGACAGGCACCCTCAGCACTAGTAGACAATGCATACATGGCAGTGAGGAGAGCATCATAGTCAAGAGCAAAGATATCTACCCTCTGCCTAAGCAGCTCCAGCCAGGAGGGGAGCTCAGCGTCGTCGCCAAACTCTGTACGCCAAGCGTCGCTCAGACGAGCGAAGCAGCGGGACTCTGTGTGACCAGGTGTCCCGCAAGGCTGACCAGTCCGGACACCTGTGCGAAGGACGTACGGGCAGCGAGCAGGACTCAGTGACCCGCTACTCTGAGCGTACCACTCACGAAGCTGCTGGGGCGAAAGAGCCTCGCGGGGACGACGCTGCAGCTGCACCTGGCCACTACCAGAAGCTCCCGAACGACCCACTCCAGAGCGACTCCCACGACGGCCACCCCGACAGCCCCAACTAGCGTACCACTCACGAAGCTGCTGGGGCAAAAGAGCCTCGCGGGGACGACGCTGCAGCTGCACCTGTCCACTACCAGAAGCTCCCGAACTACCCACTCCAGAGCAACTCCCACTACGGGCACCCCGACAGCCCCAACTAGCGTACCACTCACGAAGCTGCTGGGGCGTGAGGGACTCACGTGCACGGCCCTGGAGCTGCATCTGGCCACACCAGGAGCAGCAGTAGCAGCAGTAGCGGCAGGAACAGCAGTAGCAGCAGGAGCAGTAGCAGTGGGAGCAGTAAAAGCAGTAGCAGCAGTAGCAGCGGTAGCAGCGCGGGCAGGGCAGTGCTCACCAGTGGTGGGAAGGGCAGGCGCAAGACGGCGGCGACAGCGGGGCCGCCACAGCTGCAGGGCGGGGCCGTGCCGCGACGGCAGCTGCTCCAGGGGCCAGGGGCGGCTGCTGCAGGGGCGGCTGCTCCAGGGGCCAGGGGCGGCTCCTGCCGTGGCGGCTGCTCCAGGTGGCCAGGGGCGGCTGCTGCAGGGGCGGCTGCTCCAGGGTCCAGGGGCGGCTGTAGGTGCGGCTGCTCCAGGGGCCAGGGGCGGCTGGTGCAGTGGCGGCTGCTCCAGGGGCCAGGGGCGGCCGTACCAAGGGCGGGCGCGGGGTAGGGCAGGGCGCCGCGGCGAGCAGGGGCGACTCCGCGCGGATCCCAGTGGCGACGCGCGGGTCGCGCGGGGGCGTCGCGACGAGGCAGGGGCGACGCCGCGCGAATCCCAGTGGCGACGCGCGGGTCGCGTGGAGGCGTCGCGACGAGGCAGGAGCGACGCGCGCGGGTCCCGCAGGGTCGTCGCGACGAGGCAGGGGCGACGCGCGGGTCCCGCAGGGGCGTCGCGACGAGGCAGGGGCGACGCGCGGGTCCCGTAGGGGCGTCGCGACGAGGCAGGGGCGACGCCCGGGTCCCGCAGAGGCGTCGCGACGAGCAGGGCGACGCGTCGCGGGGTCCAGGGGCAGCGCCTCGGGGTCCAGGGGCGGCTGCGCGGGTGCAGAGCAGGCCCGCGGGCGGCCTGCAGGGCAGGGCGGCAGGGTGGCGCTCGAGGGCGCGGGTAGGCAGGCGGACGGCACACGGGGCTGCACGGGGCCGCGAGGGGCTGCGTGCGAGGCTAGTGGGCAGAGCGCAACTAGCAACAGGGCGCACGACGGCGCTAGAAGGGGCGCTCGACGGCGCTAGTAAGGGCGCTCGACGGCGCAGGTAGGGGCGCACGACGGCGCGAGGTACTATCAGACACGGTCGCGCAAGGGCGCGGCGGAACGGTGGGCCCTAACCAACGTCGGTCCTAGGTCCTGACCTAGGCGTCGGATACCATGTTAGAATGTAGAACTGAACGAGAATGAATGAAACTAGGCAGCAGGGTGATACAAGTAGGAAACCTTAGCAATGTCGTACCCCCTAAGGCTAAACCCACTATAGCCTACACAATAGGAACATGTATAATGTTTGACAATTTATCCCTTACCTTACTTGGTGAACATTTGCACGTCAGAGCCCACGTCAGAGCCTCATTCAGGACTTTCCCCCTTCCATTTACCAAAACATGCCCCTTTTCAGGTCGACGAGTTTCAACATTTTCGTGGAGAACATGCCCGCAATTTTTTACGTTTAGGCGCCATTCCGGCAGCTACTTCTTTAACAATTGGTAAGGTAGTTGAATATCGCTTAAGTATGCGTTTTTTATGGCTTCACCATGTGTCCTATGTTTGCAGTCCCAAGTCATGTTACCTTCTTGGTTCTTACGATTGCATCTACTTCATATATTCGGTTAGAGACTAACCCTGTGCAGCATCTCACTCGTCGCCATGCGTAACCATCGGAGTTAGAGCCGCCGCAACCGACTATGCAAAATGTAAGTACGATGCATTTGGTGTTTCGCTTCCGTGGGTATCACTAACCCTTCTGGAACAAGCTCAGAGACGTGCGTAACAGCAACCTTGTGGGTGCAGGTTTCACACATGTGAACGTCATCGCTTACCTTTTTTACTTGCAGGATTATGAATGTCGACACTCGCATTATGCGTTTTTTGCAGGGCGTCCCGGTTACTGCAGGCTTATCGTCAATCAGTATCGCGCTATGCATATTGTTCAATACTACCCATTAGTACTGACCACAATGGTGAGTATTGGAAACACAAACTTGGTTTACTTGTTTACCAAGTTTTCATGTCTTTTTTTCCAGTTTACATCCGTTTCTTAACTTGTAGAGTTTTTCTTCTTGCAGAGATGCGTTACAAAAAATTGTGTTTGCATGTTTTGCAGGGCCAACCTGTTACCCCCGTCCTATTGTCAACCAGAATCATTATTAACCATAATGGTGAGTGGTGGAATGGCAGTCTTGTTATGATTTTTTAACAAGGTTTTTTTCCTCTGTTTCTGCAGGTTGCGTCCATATCTTCTTATCTTCTTATCCTCTGTCGCTTATTGACAGAGTTCACACATCTTCTTACCTGTGCATTATGCGTAGTAGTACTAGTAAGGTTGGGTAGATTGTACGTTTGCAGCCTTGTAAGAGAATCATTATTATTGACATTTTTTATCTGTGCTGAGAAAGGAATACCCATAAACGAGAAGCGTCAATCGAAACTGTCACTGTTCCAATCGCTAGCCAATAACATTTATGTATCGCACGCCTACGATTGGTCCATGTGGCAAATTTTCGTCCGTCGATATGAATCTGATCCGACGGTTGTCGTTAGCGTACAGTGACATCCACGTCAGCATGTTTCAGTTTCATCTCGAGTACGTCGTAATGCCACGTGGCGTACTCGTAACACTTTCGCAGTGGTTGCTCAGAAGTGACTTTCCGCAACTTTGAGGTTGATTCACTGCATATCGGGTTAGTTGCGTCAATGTATGCAGTTTCTGTCGATTTAGTGACGGAAAAGTTGCATCGCAAGTCACTACAGCACCCACGATTTTGAACCTTGACTTTTTTTTTCTTGCGGGAAAAATGCAACCCTAAAGTAACGAGGCAGTAACTTTCGAGTTGCTTTTTGCAGTTCCCTTCTCCGCGATGAAGTATCGGGGCTGCAAACTTGTTCAATGTGAAATCAACGTGAAATAGCTTCCTCGTGAAGCCCGAACGTACCTGCCCAGAAGGGGTGGAAGGGACGACTTGCGCTGCAGATGGTAGTAACGCGTCAGACATGCACGCGACGCCCAACCTTCTTGCACAAATTCGCCCAAACCCTAACATTCAGAAATCCGTCCCCCGTGCGGTTGATAAGCCAGGCAACATCCCAGGTTATTGTTGCGACCAGATACTTTGTGGAAGAATCCCGAAGAACGTGGAGGATCCGGCGTACAGTCTTGCCGTGACGCCCGACGTCCGCCGACGTAATATCTGCTGCGTACACCTGGCGATGTTGCCACCACGCGGTGCCGTCACTGCCGTCTCATAGGCGTTCCTTGGACTATGACGCCCTACCAATCAAATAACGAGTCTATTTCGACAATGTCCAATCAAGGCTCGACAAATGGTAAACACGTGCCCCGGCTTATCCGGATAGCCACCCTTTCCTGAACTAAATTCCTTCTGGAAAACGGCACATTGTAAGCAATCTCGTTTTTGTTTTGTATCTCGTACACCTTTGTCATGCTGTGCACATTTATTTTACATTTCCCCCTATACTGGATGAAATCATGAATGCAGAAATTGGTTGAGCATGGACCATTTTCCATCTAATTCTGGCTTTTGTAATACTATAAATCACTGTAAAGAGCCTAGATAACCAGAGCCATGTCTAGTTATAACTAGAATCTATTAGTTTACAGATCGATTGACCTTTCTGGCCCTTATGCTTGTACGCGCTACGGCGCAGTGGGCGGGCGGCCCAAGCCATGCAATAACCCCCGCACCCCCCAGTCAATCGCCCACCGTTGTTCCCCCCCGCCCGCCCGACACCACCACGAACCGCGTATCCCTATCCGCCCCTAACCTCACAGAAACCCGTAGTAACGTTTTTTTAACCTGTGGAAACTTCACAATCCCAGCCGACCGCATCAGAACCAAGTTCACGCAAAGGCAGCGCCAAGTTCGTGGTGGGTGGTGCGGGCCATGGGCGGAAGCAAGTCTCCCTCGATAGTACCTTCCTGCTGCACTTGCCAATTCGCATTTTAAAAATAGTTTTCAACTATCGTTCCTGAGTCCTGACCAGACCAGACTGGTCGAGTGTGACCGAAGCAGGCTCGTCTTGTGAGGCTGGAAGGCTGGAAGTCGCATTTTTCATCCCGATCGACATAGAGCAGCTATGATCATATTTCGGCAGGGACGTGACGGCCGTGATTGCCTTAGAGCAGGGCGCCAGCGCGGATGAGCGAAGTCAAGTAACCCAATCATTGAAAGCAGACTGGACTAGCGTCACACAGCGTACGCGTCTGTTGAGTCGCGATCGGCGGATTCAGCAGCTTTTAATCCTAAAACTCTCGATCTCCAATCGAATTGATGACCGTTCGCCAATTATTGTCAAACATCGCAAACTCCTGTCGTCACTCACATCGCATCGTCGCATGGCGTCGGGTGTAATCGCATCGTATCGTCGCATGGCGACGTCGTGTATAATCGCACTGCTTCTAACCAGCACCGGCTGCTTTCAAGGTCCCGCAGTGGCAGCCGCGGTGGTAACCATTCCACGAACTCCTTCGCCAAAGGTCTCGCCGAAGGTTCCGCCGCCTCTCCCTGCAGGGCGCGCCCCTGGCGGCGGAAACGGCGCGGCTGGGGGAAACGCCACGTGGCAGCCCAGCGATTCGTGGCAGCCTGAGCTGACGCTCCTCGCGAACAACTCGTACGGCGCGCGTTGTCTGGACGGCAGGTGCGGTGCGGCAGCTTAACGGTAACATGGTCATGGCATTAGCGGCACGGTGGGGAACACACACACACAAACAAACCAACAAACAAACAAACGGCTCCCCGCTGCTCCCTCCCGCCTCCTTCCCCGACCTACTCCCCCTCCTCTCCCATCTCCTCTTACACGGTCCTTTCCGCTCCCCCTCCGTCCCTCCTTCCCCCCCCCGCCCCCCTCCTCTCCCCCCCGCCCCCTCCCACCCCTCACAGCCCCCCGGCGTACTACTTCCGCCCGGGTTCGGGGGAGGGCGCGGACGCGTGGCACGTGCACCTGCCCATGGGGGGATGGTGCTTCAACCTCAGCACCTGCGCTGATCGCGCTAAGACCTTCCTGGGGTCGTCACGAGCCGACCTGCAGCAAGAGAACCCGTACCGCCATGTGAGAGAGGAGAGGGGGTAAGGGGGGGAAGGGGGCGCGGGGGGGGGGGGAGGAGGGAGGGGGGAGGGTGGGGGAGAGGAGGGGTGAGGTAGAAGCACGTTCACCTGCCTATCGGAGGGTGGTGCTCCAATCTCAGCCTGCGCTGACCGCGCTAAGACCTTCCTGGGTTCGTCACGAGCCGACCTGCAGCAAGAGAACCCGTACAGACATGTGAGAGAGGAGAGGGGGTAAGGGGGGGCGGGGGGGGGGGGGGAGAGGGGGGAGGGTGGGGGAGAGGAGGGGTGAGGTGGAAGCACGTTCACCTGCCCATGGGCGGGTGGTGCTTCAACCTCAGCACCTGCGCTGATCGCTCCAAGACCTTCCTACTGCTCTCTTCCCGTCCCACGCCCCTCCCTCCCTCACTGTCCCACGCCGCTCCCTCTCTTACCTTCCCTGTGCCGCCTTGATCCCTCCGTCCCGCACCTCCAGGCGCGGTGGGGCTACCAGGGCATATTGAGCAACAGGAAGAGCGTGAATTCGCGTTTCTACAACTGGAACGTTGTCGTGCCCACCTAGTACTACTCTCTCTGTCCCATGTTCCCCCCTCTCATCTCTCCTTGCATTCTGCGGCCTCCTCCCTCCCGCACCTCCAGGCGCGGTGGGGCTATCAGGGCATATTGAGCAACAGGAAGAGCGTGAACCCACGCTTCTACAACTGGAACGTGGTCGTGCCCATCTACTGTGACGGAGGGGGGTTCTCGGGCAGGCGAGGGCCTGTGAGGGTGCATGGTCGCAACGTTACCCTTTACTTGGAGGGGTGGAAGATCATGAAAGCCGTGCTGAATGGTGGGTGGGTGGGGGGGTGGGTGGATGGGAAGGTGTGGATGGGTGGGTGGGTGGGTGGGTGGGTGGGCAGGCGAGGGCCTGTGAGGGTGCATGGTCGCAACGCTACCCTGTACTTGGAGGGGTGGAAGATGGTGGGTGCTTGGGGGGGTGGGTGGATGGGTGGGTGGGTGGGTGGGTGGGCAGACGGGCGAGTGGGTGGGTGGGTGAGCAGGCGAGGGCCTGTGAGGGAGGGTGCATGGTCGCAACGTTACCCTTTACTTGGAGGGGTGGAAGATCATGAAAGCCGTGCTGAATGGTGGGTGGGAAGGTGGGGATGCGAAGGTGGGTGGGTGGGTGGATGGGTGGGTGGATGGGTGGGTGGATGGGTGGGTGGATGGGTGGGTGGATGGGTGGGTGGATGGGTGGGTGGATGGGTGGGTGGATGGGCAAGCGGGCGAGTGGTTGGGTGGGTGGGTGTGCAGTGATTGTTGTATTCTAGAAGCTTCCACACGCCCTGCCCAAACCCCCCGTCCCCCCTCGCATTCCCTCTGCTCCCAGTTCCTCCACTTTTACCCTCGCCTGTCCCTGTGATTCCCTCCTGCCTCAACTCTTTCTGCCTCACTGTTACCAGCTTCTCCTCCTCCCTCCCTCCGTGCCTGCCGTCCCACCAGACCTCCTCACCAACCGCGGCCTGCATTCAGCCACCTCGCTGCTGCTCTCCGGGGCATCAGCAGGCGGGCAAGCCGTCGTCACCTTCTGTGGCCTCCTCGCTAACTCAGTCGCCCACTCTTCTGCCGTCAAGTGCCTGCTTGACTCTTCGTTCTTCACTGGTGGGTGCTGACTGGCATTGACTTGCGTTGACTAGCATTGACTGTTGTTGACTCGGCCTTTGGCACTGGTTGATGCGCCCATTAAGGTGTTTGACCCTGTCGCCCACCCCTATGCCGTCAAGTGCCTGCTGGACTCCGCCTTCTTCACTGGTGAGTGTTGACTCACATTGACTGGCGTTGACTCACATTGACTGGCGTTGACTCGGCCTTCTTCACTGATGGACCTTGAACAATAGCCAGCTCTGTCGCCCACCCCTCTGCCGTCAAGTGCCTGCTCCTGCTGGACTCAGCCTTCTTCACTGGTGGGTGTTGACTGGCGTTGACTGACGTTGACTAGCGTTGACTGGCATTGACTCGGCCTCCTTCACTGGTTTATGCACCTTATAATTAATTCTGTCGCGCACCCCTTTGCCGTCAAGCGCCTTGAAAGATGGTTAACTCTCTCGCCAAGCCTCTGCAGTCAAGTGCCTGTTGGGCTCTGCGTTCTTCACTGGTGAGTGTTGACTTGCATTGACTCGCTTTGTGCCTTTGACTAATGTTGACTGATGGGTGCTGACACCCGAACTCTTCGTGTAAAGCCAAACCTGTCTCCCCTTCCCAACTATCATTGCATGGATCGACTCATGGTTTTGCACCCCCCTGACCCTCCCCCTTCCCCCTTCCCCATTCCCCATTCCCCATTCCCCCGTTCCCCCATTTCGTTACTTTCCCCTTCAACAGACTCGTTGCATCAAATTGGCTACCCGTATTTCACGTAGGGCTCTACCCAATCTTGTCACATGGCAGAGCTTCACGAGTCCGTGGTTCGGCTTATGGCTTCGCATCCCCCCCCTTTCCCCCTTTCCCCCTTTCCCCGTTCCCCCGTTCCCCCGTTCCCCCATTCCCCCTTCCCCACAGACTCGTTGGATCGGAATGGCTACCCCTACTTCCAGCACATGGTGAAGAACATGGCAGAGCTTCACGAGTCTGTGGGCAACCCCAAGTGCGCAAAGGGTAAGCTACCCTAGACATGCAAGAAGCCAGCTTTCTGTCACGAGCGCCTCTCCCTATGCCAAATGTGGGCTGCTTTGATCAAAGCTGTGCAAATTGGTGAAACCTGTCCATTGAGGAACAACAACAACAAGGTTCTTTAACAGGTTGCCATGTCACCAAATAGTTTGTCAACTGCTGCAGGCTGCAGTTTCCTTCCGCTGTAACTTCCAAAAGTGGAAATGCACCACAGGCAAGGCAACTGCAGGTGACAAGTCATTTGGTTCCAGGAAAGCTCAGGTCTGTCTTTGAAACGTCTCAACACAACAGTTGCCATAGCACCAGGTGACTTGTCACCTGCAGTTTCCTTCCACTGTAGGCCCGTGACGAGATACCGAGGAACCTCTGAGGTCCCCGTTTGCCCCTCCTCCTTGGACTTCCCTGTTAACCAATGGCGCCGTTTCTTTCCCAAGTACGCACTCGCCTATGAAGCTCCATTTGCCCCTCTTCAAACTCTTTCACCCCATCGCTCCCCTCTCTCTCCTGACTCTCTCCCTCCCCCCAGCGCAACCACCTGCCATGCGCTGGCGCTGCTTCTTCTTCCTGCAGTACATGCTCGCCTTTGAGAATCAATTTGCCCCATCACCCCCGTTCAAATCAAATTCACCCCATCACCCCCCTCTCCCTCCCCCCAGCGCAACCACCTGCCATGCGCTGGCGCTGCTTCTTCCCGCAGTACGCGCTCGCCTTTGTCACGCGCCGCCCCGTCTTCATCGTTCAGCCGCTCTTTGACTTCCGAGCCCTCGTGCGCGGTAACCAGCTGCCCGAGGATTACGGTTACGTCTTGAACTGCCTGCGCTCGCTCCTCTCCCTGCCCGTCCTCCCGGCAAAAAGGAAGAATCCGGGGATGTCTCGCCAAGCGTTTGACCTAGCAGTAGCTGCTGAGGGGGGAAATGAGGAGAGGTTGTTACAGGGTTGGAAGCAGATTGAGGAAGATGGATACACTACATACTCCTTATGGGCGGAAGCGAATGCGCGAGAAGCACCTGTAGAGGCAGCAAGGGGGGCAGCATCAGACAAAGCACTGATGACAAGAGGGATAAGTGCAGCAAGCGAGGCTGCATTCATATTGCAAGCTGGGGGGAATGCAACCGAAGGGCCAACGTCATACTGCAAGCCGGATGAGTTAGTGGCGATATTGACGGTGGCGAATAATGTTGCACGGTTCACAAAGATGCTGAGACGAAAGAGCCTTGGCACGTTCTTGCCTGTGGAGTATGAGCATGCGGTAATCACTTCTGAACTTTGGACGAACAGTGGTGTTAATGGGGTCACGATGAGGGATGCTGTTGCTAATTGGTACTTCTCATAATGTAAAGTGGTTGCACGGTTCTTCTCATCCTTGTGATCTGCATGCTCCATTGAAGGAAACGCTGGTTCACAAATTCATGCAAGAACCATGACAAATTTGTGCACATATTGCAACCATTGATGAAGCTGTATATTTGCAGATTCATGCAAAACAGATGCTGTCGGTCTGTTGTGTTACAGCACTCCCATCCAATGTCCTTCCCCTCGCTACAGCCTCAGCGCTTCGTATTCTGGCGGCGGTACGTTGACCTGACCAGTGACCACCAAGTCTTGCAACGATACCAAGCCGCGATCATCCGTGGTTGGTTCAGAACCTTCGCCAGCGCCTCCCCCATCTCCCCAGTTTTCGTCGCACAATTTCCGCACCACCTGTTTTTCCCCCTTTCCTACCGCCCCCCACAGCCGTGTTCAAACGAGCACCGTTTTCTCCCGCTGCCTCTGCGCCTTTTTCTTTCCCCCACCCCGCGCTGTCCCCTCTTCCCCTGGTTTCAATTCCCCGCGATACCTCTTCACTACCCCAGTTAAAGCTGCAGTATACATTTGAAAGGTTGGGTTCAATTTTTTTTTGAATTTTGAAAGTTGCCCCAAAGCTGTGAGGCACACATTAAAAACCCTAAACCCGGCCGACAAATGTATACTGCAGCTTTAACCCTCCCCGCCCTCCTTCCCCTCGCTAACCCATCTCCATCCCCCTTATCGCGCAAATTCACCCATCCCCCGACATCTGTTCCACAATTGGCCCCTCCAGCTGCAAACCTTGACAGCTGTTACCTTTCATCGCCGTTTTAAATCACCAGGAACCACCACCAACCTTATTATTCTTCAACTTATTTCTCACACCACACCCAAACCAACCATAGTAGGTGCACCATGTGCACATACACTCACCGACAGTGCTACTGTACTACCCGCCCGACACCCAACCTAACCCAACCGCGAACAGCCCGAGTGGCAGGTAATGCAGGCAATATGCGAGCCATGCACTCATGCAGCGTGTGTGCTTTCTCATCTCAACCCCCCTCGGTCAATTTCGCGCATCCCGCCTCGATAGTTTCGTCCGACGGCCCATACACCATAGTCGGCTTTCATCTTTGCTTGTCCTTTCACCTCATACCTCCCTGTAACTCGGCACAGTGCTCAGGTCAGGTCTGATAGGTTGCTGTCTGCTGCAGTGGTCGAACCGTGCCGTACCTTACGGTCTGCTGCGGCGGACGAGCCTTGCTCTCGCTGCGTCGCGGATGCGTCGTTCGTTCTCCTACTGTATTTGTCAATGGAGCCAGCAGGACGACTGCTGAGTGATTCAGGTCATGGGCTTTAATTAGTTACTATTCATGGACGATGGTTCCTATCGAGTCAAGAGAAATAGATGGTTTTATTTTTTTAATGCAGAGATAAAATCAAGATGACTGCGTGGTTACCGCTAGAAGGAACGGAATCGGCAAAGCGCTAGACGATGGAAGTTTAGTCCGGAACCAGATCGCAAATGCAGCATCTGTAGCATCTAAGCAGCATGCGACATCGCCTGGCACGTTTAGAGACGCCTTTTATAGGCGGGAGGTCGTCGCTGTTCGATCGCATGTACCATTGCGAACAAATAACGGGTAACACGCGCCTATTTCGCCACTGCCGTTCGCAGCCAGTCATTATGCCACGATCGTCAAGAGCGTCGCGAGCGCCGTCGTTAGTAACCCTCGCGGTGGCACTGGTGCTTGTAGCGGGGGGCGCGATTCGCGGCGGCGAGTGCATGTTGCGAACCATGCGGCTCGTCACCCTGTCGAATAACGCGCTCGGCGCCAGATGTCTTGACGGCAGGTACCACGTGGCACGCCCTGATAGGTCGATACTTTCTGCTGACATTTGGTATCAATTCTATAGTCTTGATGAATCGCATTCCCTCCTCGCCTGTTCGTTATTCCCCGATTTTTGTTACTCGGCAAATTGCATACCTTCTCCACGCCTCTCTGCTCACCCTTCCTCCCCCTTCTTCCCCCCTCCCCGCTGCCTCCTCCCCCTTCCCTCTCCCCCTTTTCCCCTCCCCCTTCCCCCTTCCCCAGCGACCCCTCGTATTTTTTCCGCCCAGGCGCCTCTTCTACCCCGCCTGTCAAGCGAACCTCCCCGCGCGCGGCCGATTCTCCAGTAGCAGGCGGCCACGTGGCAGGCAGCGGCCAGTCCGTCAATCGGCGGTGGTTCGCCAGCAAAAGCAGCGGGATCTCCGCGGGAAAACCAAACCAATGGGGATCGTCGTCGCCGGCGGGCGGCGCCGCGGGTCGCGACACGTGGCAGCCAGCGCAAACGCCGGGGGGGGACCCAGCGATTCGGATTCACATCCATCTGCCGGCGGGAGGGTGGTGCTTCAACGCGCAAGAGTGCCTTAATCGCTCCTTGACCTTCCTCGGTTCCAGCTCGGGTTGGCCCACTATCATCCCCGAGGTCAGTTGCGCCGCTCTCCCCTTTCCCCTCCCCCTCTCCCACTCTCCCCACTCGCCCTCTCCGCCCTCCCCCTATCCCCTCGTTCCCCCTACCCCCTCCCGTCCCCCCTTCACAAGAGCGTCGTTAGTTGCGACTCTCTCGTTCCCCCTTCCCCTTCCTCATTCACCTTCCGCGTCCCGTTCCGCTTGCGCCCCATCCCCTCTTCCCCGCCCTCCCACGCGGACATCCCCCTATCCCCACCGCCCCTCCTCCCCATCTCCCCCCAGTCCGTGCCCATGGGCGGCATTCTGAGCGACGATCCGGACGTGAACCCGCTCTTCGCGGACGGCCCGCTCATCCGCTCTTCCCCCCTTCCCTCCCCCGCTCCCCCCCATCCCTCCCCCTCCCCCCTTCCCTCCCCCGCTCCCCCCATCCCCCCCTCTCCCCCCAGTCCGTCCCCATGGGCGGAATTCTAAACGACGATCCGGACGTGAACCCGCTCTTTGCGGACTGGCCGCTCTCGCGCATCAACTACTGCGCGCATCCCCCCTTTCCCCTCCCCCCCCATCCCCCAGTCCGTCCCCATGGGCGGAATTCTAAACGACGATCCGGTCGTGAACCCGCTATTCGCGGACTGGCCCCTCGCGCGGATCAACTACTGCGACGGGGGGGGCTTCGCGGGGCAGCGCGGGCGCATCAACGTCACCGTCCCGGGCGCGCCAGTCAGGGGGAGGCAGGCGGGGGGGCAAGGGGGAAAGCAGGGGCGGCTGCTGGCGGGGATGAAGCCCGGACCAGGGGGGTCGGGGGGAGCCGCGGGGGGGGGGGGGGCGGTGGGGGGCGGGGGGAGCGGGGGAACAGGGGGAGCGATCGGGGGGAAGCCGGGGGGGTCGGTGGGGGGGAAGCAGAGGATCGTACCTCTTTACATGGATGGGTGGAACGTCGTTCGGTCCATCATAGATGGTGCGTTCTTTTGGGAGTGATGGTAGAAGGTGCTGCACCTGCTGTGATGGTTGCTATATGTGCCATCATTGATGGTGCGTTCTTTTGGGAGTGAATCGTTGCCCTTTTGGCGTTATTCTCTCTCCTTCCCCTCTCAACTCCACTCTCTCTTTTTCTCACACCCACTCTCTCGAATGGTCCTTTGTATTAATTCAGCAGGGGGTACAGACATGCGGTTTGACTCGTGATTCCCTTGGACCCTCTGACCCATTAACCCATCCCTCTGACCCTCCCCCTCCCTGAGTGACCCTCTACCCCTCCAGCGTGTGGAGGATGTCCCCTAGGTGCAGCGGCCATGGGTCCGCTGCCATCTGGGGGTGCGCTGCCTCAATCCCCGCCCTGGCCTTGGTGTGCAGGGCATTCGCCTGGGAGCGCTTGAGGGCCACTGACCAGCGCTGGCTGAAGTGGCAGGCCATCTTCTTGGCAGATTTTGCCAAGGGGTTGGCCCTGAAGCGGTTCCTAGCTGCTGCTGTGGCTAGCAGCTTCAGGAACGCCGTCGTGGGGGGCGCGTTTGCCCCATAGGTCTCGACGGCCAGGGCGCAGAACACCACGTGTTCTGTGTGCCGATAGTAATCCCTTTCCTTCCGGTGTCAGGGTCTGGTGTCAGGGGTAGCGCTTGCAGCCATGCCCCCGCTCCCTCGCCTCTCAGGCTGACGAGGCGGAGCGTGTGGCCCATCTCGGGGGCTGATCAGATTGTGCGTGATTCCTCTGTCAGGGCGTCGGCCTTTGCCGTGTGCACCTCCTGAGAGAGGGCGCGCTGCAGCTGGTCTTGGGACGGGGTTTCCTGCTCCTCACGGAGGTGTTGCAGCGCCAGCGGCGGCAGTCGTCCCTCCATGTCTTGGATGGTGACCGAGTGCGCTGCAGACGGCTGCAGGGCGTTGCTGTTGCTCCCCAGCGCCGCGGTTGCTGGCAGGTCAAGTGAGCGGAGCAGGCGTAGCGCCTCTGTGGTTGAAGCCAGGTAGGCCGGTGCTGCTTCTGTCGTGGGGTCCGTGAGGCCCAGTCCACCTAGGGCTACTGGGAGGGTTGCTTGGCGGATGAGAAAATTGAACTCGGCTTCGCGGCGGGGTGGTTGGATGCTGGCGGCAGTCAGGGCGGTGTTGAGCAGTTCGGCGCACCACGCGTGCCATTCCGAGAGGGGTAGGACATCTGCTGGGGTGGTGCGCAGCAGGTAGCCGATTCTGCGGCTGATGCAGCGGGATAATAGCAGGAGGGCATGCTGTGGATGGATGGATGCTAGGGAGCCCAGGGGTGCCGCCGCGTCTGTCAGGGTGCTGCGGACTAGGTCAGAGCAGAAGCGCTGTGACCCCACAGGGCTTCCCAACACCCGTACCCCCTCGTGGGTGAGGGGGAGGCCCTCGGGGAGCTCGTCGCCTACCAACGGCGTCGTGGACCACGCCGACGACTTTTTGAGGTTGCAGGTGAGGCCATCCTGGGCGAGCAGCGGCGTCAGGACACTAAGCGCGCCGAGCGTTGTCGTCGCCGGTCCGATCATGGTGATGTCATCTGCATATGCTAGGATCGTGACTTCTGGGTGCTCTGCTGCTATGCGTCTGAGGTGCTGCTGGATTGATGTCGCGAACAGCAGGGGTCCGAGGGGGTCCCCCTGCCTAACTCCCCTTCCGCTGGTGAGTGCCGTTGTGCTCAAGCGGGGATCGGTCAGTAGCTGTGAAGGCGTTGCGTAGAAGGAGCGAGTGAAAGGTATGAGCGGTGCTAACGGGGTGTTGGTGAGTGCATTGAAGAACGCTTTCCTCTCTACGGAGTTGAAAGCGTTTTCAATGTCGAGTTGGAGGACTAGGCTGGATGGTTGTGAAGTGGTGAGGTCTCTGACTGCGTGTATAACGAACTCAGCTCCGCCTGGGACTGCCACGCCGAATTGCTGGGGTAAGAAAAATCGCCTTGTTTCTCCTTGCAGTTCCGAGTGTGCCACCTTCGCTGCAAGCCGAAGCAGGGACTCCCCGATCGCGATGGGGCGTACCCCCCCCCCCCTGGTTTCGCGAAGGCGATGAGGCGGGATGGCGAGAGTAGTGCTGCAACCACGGTGGAGAGATTCGTCGAGAGAAGGTGTGTTACGGCGGAGTGCAGGTGCCCTAGCACTTCGATGTTACTTAGGGCTGGGTCGCGGTAGTGTTCAAATGTTGACCCTGATGGACCAGCCCCAACTCCGCTGGGGCAATCCCCGAGGACGTCTGAGAAACGTTCCTTGGTGCACGAAAATTGCGTGGGTGTTGTGTAGGTGTGGACCCAGTCGGGCAGCTCAATTTGGGGTTGGGGGTGTTTTAATTCCAACTGCTGCAGTGTTGCGATCGTCGCAGGGGCAGCTGGCGAGGGTTGAAGGGCTGCCAACGCTTTTCGCAGGTTACCCCGTTTCACCAACCCCTCCACACGTGAGCAGATTCCCAGGGGGTCATTTTGGTGCTGAGGTGGCTCGGCTTGGTGCAGGGACCCCACGTAGTCACTGTACAGCTGGTTCCAGTGGCCACATCTGAATAGGGGCATCTGTGCTCGTAGCACCTTCCACCTAGAGCTGGACCTCCTGCTAAGTCGTAAGGTGAGACGTGGCAGGAACATGAGGACCCGCCACGCTCCCGCGCAGTTTGGCAGTTTAGAGATCCGTAAGAGGGCGGCCAGCATACAGGTGGAGTAATCGCTTAGTATCTGCGGCGGCAGGCGGCGGACGATAGGCAGGTGGGTGGTCGACGTTAGGGTTGAGGAGTCCTAGCTCATCGCGATCTCAAAGAGATCCTCCCTCGATGCCAGCTGGGACGCTGACAGGGCTTGGTCCGGAGGGGGTTGGGGTCTGCGGTTATGTCGGCGGCTAGAACTTCTCCCCTGCTGCTGCGCCTGGTCCTCCCCCGCTTCCGCGAGAGGTGAGTCGGGATTGTCAGGTTGCCTCAGATCTGACGGTACATATTCGTCGTCGCTCCCCTCTGCGTTTGTATCACCGATTCTTACTGCTTGCGCTGTCGTTCCTCCTCTCCCCCCGCGTCTAGCGAACGACTGGCGCGTGACTCGTTCCGCCGGCTCCCCCAACCAGATTGGGCTCGATGGTTGGCGCGGATTCCCCCTCGCCGCTTGCCTTGCACTCCGCTGTCCTCCGCGCGCTCCTCGACGCCCGCCTCTCCCCCGCGTGCTTCCCCGTCCGCTCCTCGGAGTGGCTGCCGTAGGTGCCGCCTGTTGCGCCTGGGAGATCGGCGTCGTCGGCTCCTCTTGTGTAAGTGGAGCGCCCTGAGCGCTAGCCAATGGATTTCCTTGGCGCTCTGGGCCGTGACTGCACCGCGGAGAGCGATCCTGCTCCCCGTCCGCTTCCTCCTGCACGCCCAGCCGCGAGCGTGCCTGTTGCTCCGCCGGCGTCCGCTGATCAGATTCGCCGCCGCTTCGAGCATCAGCGGCGCGAGCTGGCTCCGCGCGGGGGCAGGTCCTCGTCACCGCGGGAGCCCCCGCGCGCGGTGTCCGTCGCGCGCTCCGGCGCAGAGGCTGTGGCGCACCTGGAGCGTTCGCATCGCCGTCGTTCGTCGGCAGCTCGCGACGATAAGCGGGAGAGCCGCCGCGACGATCGTCACGGCGTGGCTCGTTCGCCGTGGTCGCCTCGTTCGCCGCGGTTGCCTCGTTCGCCTCGTCGCGCGGCGTCGCGGAGCCGGTCCCGTGACCGCCGCTCGCATCGTCATCGTTCGCCCGCTCACCGTTCATCTCGTCAGCGATCGCCTGCCCGCCAGACGTCCGAGCGTCGGCCCCCAGCTCCGCGTTCGCCCCCTCCTGCAAAGCGTAGCGGCTATACTCTCCTCGTCGCGGGGACCGTTCCCCTGGCCGCTAGTGTCAGCAGGGCCCGTCTTGCCCGCAGTCGCCTGTGCGCTCGAGCGCCAGTGGGCGTGCGCGTCGTGGGCGACGGGGAGGTTATGGTCGTGGCGGTACTGCGCGTCCAGCGCCTTCCCCAATGGAGCGCGTCCTGAAGAGGTTGGACGGTGTGGAGAAGGCTCTCCACCGCTCGCGTGCGGGGTCGTCATCGCAGTCCGCCTCTCCAGCTGCACCGGTTGTTCCTCTCGCTGCGCTTCTGCCCCACAATCCTGTGGGGTCCCCGGCGCGCTCCGATCATCCGCCTCCTGCGGGAACTGGCTTCGTGGGCGCTGGCGGTGGGCCGCCGTGGGCTCGGTTTGTTCCGCCGAGTCCTCTTCCTGCTCCTCGTGACCTCGCCGTGTCGTCTCGCCGTGCCCGCGCATCTGCGTTGCTTCCGCCGATGAAGGAAGTTCCCACGGCGATCCTGGCCCACCTATGGTCGCTGGCGGAGTCCCTGCAGAGCCTTGAGCGGATTCTCCAGGAGTCATATGATTCCATGCCGGTGAGTCCTCCGAGCAGGTTCTCTCAGAAGCCGCGAGCTGATTGTCATGCGGCGGCGTCAGCGCTATTCGCGCTCGTAACGCCACTGCAGGTAGCGCCCTCGCCGGGAGCAACCTCGGCCAGCCAGCTGGCTGACTCGGCCCTGGCTCTGAAGACGCTTGTAGGAGGCTCTGGTACTCCTGTTGACGTTGTAGGCGCCACCGTGTTAGTGGTCCGCCTGTTGTGGTTGAACGCGAGCGGAATGCTCGCTGCGGTTGAGGCGCACCGCATGTAGGCGCTCCCCCCTTGCGCGTGTAGACCCGTTCCATCGTCGTCTTGCTAGGTGCTCTTGCTTGCCTTGCTTGTATCGGTTGCCTAAACTAAACTACTGCTTGTTGTTCCCCCTTGCCATCCCTAACGCGTGGCCGAAGGCCGCCGGCGCGAAGCGCCGAAATTTTCAGCACTAACTGAAAGAATGAGAGATGAAGAGGCCACCGTGGCCTTAAGTACTCATGGCAGAGGGCAGAAAGCAGAGGGCAGAGGGTAGAAGGGGAGAGGCTAATCCTCTCTCTCTCTCTCTCCCCTCACAGCCCTCACACCCCACTTTCTCCTCCCCTCACCCCACCCTCGCACGTATGAAGTTATACGCCCTCCTCACAGGTGCTGCACCTAGGAAAAATACCATCTCCCACTCAAGGCGACTTTTGAGGCGCCTCAAAAGTCGTCTCACAGGTGCTGCACCTGTGAAAATTAACGTCTCCCACTCAATGCTCAAATCCTATGAGTCGACTCAAAGGTCACCGCAGGCGACCATCAAACTCTAATCCTATGCCCCCCTTCTCCCCCGGGCCCCATTCATTCCTCCCCTTCCCACCCCATACGTCCCCACTCCCCCCCCTCCAACGCTCACAACCCTTCCATTCTGCAGACCTGAAGGCGAAGCGTGGCTTCAACCTGCCCTCACAGGTGCTGCTCTCTGGGAGCTCAGCAGACGGGCAGGCGGTCATCTACCTCTATTCCTTCCCCCCTCCCTCCACTCATTCCTCCCCTTACCCATCCCTTCCGTCCCCCTACACCTCCCCCCCCTCCCCCCCCCCCCCCTCCCCCGCCCCTGGCCGCTCCTTCCCTCCTCTCCCAACCCCTCCCTCCCTGCAGACCTGAAGGCGAAGCGGGGGTTTAATTTGGCCACAGAGGTTTTGCTCTCGGGCAGCTCAGCGGGCGGGCAGGCGACCATCTACCTCTGTGACCGTGTGGCTGCCGCCTTCCCCACCGCCACCACCCGCTGCGTTGCAGACTCGGGCTATTTTGTCAGTAAGCTATTCTGTTACATGAATTGTTTGGGTGCTATGTTGATGTTACTTTTGAGAACCTATTCTATTACATACATCGTTTGGGCGCTTTGTCTGAAAGTGGAGTGATGTGCCCAGAATATACATAACATGTATGATAAATACATATCATATACATCATCCCTATATACATATGAGTATACATATATGGTCTCGTTTATAAGCAGGGAACAAAAACCCGAAACAAATCGACACGAAGACTCCTGTTGACTTGACTTGAATCCCCTCCGCTCCTATCACCCTCACCTCAACCCCTGTGCACACCTGCAGACTCCATAGACCGCAACGGCACGCGGCTGTTGACTCGAGTCGAGTCACTCGACTCAAACCCCTCACTGCAACTCCTCTCACCCTCACCTCATCCTCACCCTCCCTCTCCTCACTCGCAGACTCCATAGACCGCAACGGCACGCGCCTGTGGGAGCGGCTGGCAAAGAGCATTTCGACCACCCAGCAACTCAGCAACCCCGCCTGCCGCAAACGTCAGTGCCTTCCCCATCCCTTCCCCACCTCTTCCCTCCCACACGCACGCATCTCCTTCCTTCCCCATCCCTCCGCCTCCTCCCTCCCACACGCACCTCCCTCCCCACCCCCTCCCTCGCGCACCTTCCTTCCCTTGCTGCCCCTATTTCCTACTCCCGCCCTACTCCCCCTGGATTACCCGAGTGCTCAAACAACTTTTGAGGCGCCTCAAAAGTCCTTGCATGGTATCAGCCTTTCTTCCCCTGGATTACACGAGTGCTCAAACGCTCTCTGCTCGCTGCTGAGTCGGTCGGCCCACTCGTCTGTGCTCCCTCCATCCCCCCTTCTGCTTCCGCTCCCATCTCCCTGCCTCTTGGGATAATGTGACCTGCAGGGCTCCCTCCCTCGTGCCACTGGGCCTGTTTCTTCCCAGAGCAAGCCCTAATGGCATTAACCCTCCCCCTCTCCCCTCCCTTCTGCTTCTCCTTTTCGGAATAATGTGACCTGCAGGGCTCCCTCCCTCGCGCCACTGGGCCTGTTTCTTCCCAGAGCAAGCCCTAATGGCGCTAAAAACTCCCATCTTCGTCATCCAATCGCTTTTCGACGTTGTCGCGGCGGCGATTGGAGGGCAGACCCGCACCACTCCGGACCACAATTTCTACAACTACACTGCTACGGTACAGTGCGTAAACGAGCTTTTGGATATTCCAATGCCGATAACAATCTTTGTGCGGTCTGGCACTTGGCGGAACGTTCGATATAAGACGAATTACTGCAAGGTTGGGGAGCGGACGGCGATGTATAATATGGCGCAGTTGGTGTATACGGGGTTGGAGAGGGCAAGCAAGGAGCGGCAGACAAGGGGGATATTTCTTATATCAAACGGCATGCACGGTGTGGCTTTAATGGATGACAGGTGGATGCGGACTAAGGTAAAAGGGGTTAGTGCCAGAGATGCGCTGACACGATGGTATAACAGTAGATTGGACAAAATCTTCTTCATGCATGAATAATACATGCATATACATGTTCTTCATATACATGTTTTGTAATAGGCTTCATCTGGGGATTGCTGCAGCACTTCCTGCAGGGATTTTCCTGCCAAATGAAGATGCTGACTTTTGTTTCAATGTTATTTGTACAATCGTTCGAGCTGCTAAAAGGTGTAGTAATGTCTACCATCTACATGCGGATATCTGGCATCCGAGATACGTGCCTTCCCCTTTTACAAGGATTCTTCAACCTCCAGTGGCTGACTTGGCTTGGCTTTTGTGGGCTCACCGCATCTCACGCGAAAACTAAAACCACGACAACATCACGTCGTGCCATACTGGAAAGCGAAAGCTTTTCCCGACAACTGAGAATTGCGAGCGCCATATCGCCAAGTCCCTATCATCTCATAGAACACTCGCATCCTCTCGCTAGTCACAAGATTAGTTCGCCTATTTTTTCGCAACGCAGTGTTACGAAGTACACGATTCTCTATTCTCGTTGGGAGTACGTCCATTCGAAGCGCGACGACACGCGGTTCGAGCGGAAACCGGCAGCAGTCATACGCAAGTATTCATCACCAGTTCCAACCCACAAACCTCCAACTTCCAGAAACAAATCACCACAACACTACGGTACGGAGGGGCAAATTCTCACACGAGCCAACCAAAAACCCAGCTCTCTCACACCCATCCTACCAACCCACCCAAACCAACCATTCGCAGTTCTCCTATCCATGCTCTACGCAACACTCGTTGCCACCCGCAAGTCGTGCCGACGCTCGCGTCCAATTGCTAAACGTGTGCACTTGCGACAGCACCACCACCACCACCTGATTTGCGAACAAAAATTACCTCGTTGTAGCGGAAGAAAGGCCCACCAACCTCCCATATTCGCAGTACCCAGACTCGGGCGGACCTTGCTCGTGGCTGTGTCTAGGTCGGCGCACTCACATTCCAGTCGTTCCCGGTTTGCTTCACATCTACTCTGCCGCTTTCTAGCCGGCAGATGTTGCGTCCCCAGTCAAGTTAAACGCTCCGTCCAAACCAGGCTACCCTGACCACGGGCTCCCAAGTTAGTGTGACCCATGAGCCGTAGTACGCTGCACCATATTAGTACGCCATTGCATATTCGTGTGTCATAGTAATATTCTAATTATGGCACCTTTATAGTTTCTAGTATCTCCAATCCAACGGGCGGAGCTTCCCGGATCGCCTCGCACAGCCCGGGCCGCCGTTAATCGAGCCTAGCGCGGAGCTCGTTAGCGTTTCGCAAACAGTCATGGCGAAGCCGTGGAAGGACGCCACGTGGCATTGGCGCGCGCTGGTCCTCACGCCAGTTTTTCTAACCCTTTTCTGGCTAACGTGGCCAGCCCTGCCGTCCGTCCACGTCAGCGTTGACGTCCATTGGCCGCAAGAGCGAGATTCCCTAGATTCCATCTCGCACCTTCTGAATCTACCCGCGCCGCTAGGAACTCACGCGGAGTTATCTAGGTCGAAAAGCGCCGAGCCTCTGGGAAATAAGCCTCCGGCCGGCATTCAGAGACAGCTGGGAAATGACGAGGATAGACGGCGGCGTCCGGCGGGTGGGGGGAAAGAGGACGTAGCGCTGCGCGGGGAAATGCGGGCGGCGGACCGGGAGTTCCGCGTGCTGCCGCTGACGGTGAAAGCGATGGCGGTCGCGAGCGCGTACCGCGTGGGGGAGAGCAGCTTCGTGGTAATGGGGGAGTACCTCACGCCCGTCTTGGCGCATCATCTGAAGCGCGCGCTCGTCGACGAGTGCGCGTGGGAGGGGGGTACCGGCGACCGCGCGGTGACTGCGGCCGAGTTTCTCTGGGTATGCTCCTTCTCCTTCCCTTCCTTTCCCCCACCTCCTCTCCCCCGTACATTTCGCCCGCACGTTCGCTGCCACGGAGTTTCTCTGGGTAGCCATGCATTGCACCGCGCATCACCCATGCTCGCCGTTTCCGAATTCCGCAATGTCTTTCTCCTGATGCCCTCCCTTCTGTCTCCCCTCTCTCCCTCTCCCTCTCCCTCTCCCTCTCCCTCTCCCTCTCCCTCTCCCTCTCCCTCTCCCTCTCCCTCTCCCTCTCCCTCTCCCTCTCCCTCTCCCTCTCCCTCTCCCTCTCCCTCTTCCTCTCCCTCTCCCCTCTCCCTGACGTCAGCTTCGGAAGGAGGACTACCACGGCACGCCATGGGCGCCGGTGATGATTCGCTGCACGTTCGCGCGGCCCGTGGGGGGTGACAATAACGGGGGGTCGTTGCTGCTCCGGCGACGGGGCACGGAGGAACCGACGGCGATTGTAAAGAAGTTCCCGTTGGTGATACAAGAGATGGAAATGGAGGTGCTTCGAGAGCCGGGCGCGTTTGAGCTTATAAAGCAGCCGCCAATATACGAGGTACGCCACAACCAAATGCCGTTATATCGTGTATGAAATAACTTGTCTTAGTTCCCCATCCCACTGCTCAAGTTCATCCCCACGCCGCCGTCTGATTGTAACAAATACATATACATTCACTGTTACACCATCCCCTCTCGATTCTCCCTGCAGTTGGCGCACTGTAGCGGTCCCCTTTATGGCCACCTGCGGCCCCGTGCCGTCTCTGATTGGCTACACTACCACTCGCGCGCAGTTGGCGTACAACACTTCTTCCTCCACGATTTCGGGGCTATAAGCGGAGATTACGCCACCGCGTCAGAAGAAACCGCAGCATCATCAGCAGCAACAGCAGGGGCAGCAGCAGCAGGAGCAAGCGAAGTGAAGGGAGCGAGTGCAGCAGACACGGGAGAGGAAGAGCCGTCCTTGGCGGAGGCCGTAGCGCCATTCGAGGCGAGAGGGCTGGTGACGGTGACGCGGCTGCTGGGGCACGAGCGCTTCCGGTCGCACTACTGGCACCAGATACTCACTCAGAACGATTGCCTCTACCGCGCCCGCTACACCGCCAGGTGAGCATTACTCCCTGCCCCTCAATCCTTTCCCTGAGACGCCTCAGGAATCTGGGCACATCAAGAAACTTAGAGGCCTCACAGTTGACTACCTGTTCGGCCTCCTGCCTGCACAGCTGACTCGTACGTTACAGTTTCACCCCGTTAATCCTTTTCCCCCATCGGTGGCTCATATTCACGGACATGGACGAGTACATCTTCACTCCCTATTCTAACCTCTCTCCACCCTTTCCCACCACTCCCCATCCCCCAACCCCCCTTCACAGGTGGCTCATCTTCACGGACATGGACGAGTACATCTTCACGCCTCCCCCCGCATCGCTCTCCTCCGCGCTGGCGGGTCTGGCGCGCTCCAGCCACGCATGGGCGTCCATGGACGCGTACTGGGGCTTCATCACACGCTGCCGGGAGAAGGTGGTTGATGACCCCAGCAGTGGCAGCTCTGGCAGTGGTGGTGGCAGCGGCAGCAGTGACAGCGGCAGTGGCGGCAGCAGCAGCAGCAGCAGCAGCAGCAGCAGCAGCACGGGGCTTATTAGCACAAGCAGAAGCTCGAGGGAGTTGATGGAAACAGCAGGAGGGTCTGGTGAGGAGGAGATAAATGGATATGAGACCCAAGGGATCAGGGAAAAGGAGCTTCTGGTGGGTTATTTACCCATGAGGAGCCGACTGCCCATCTGCAGCAGCCTCAACTACAGTGAGCCCGCCACCATCAACACAACAAAAGCCTTTTTCTGCCCGGAGCACTTTGGACGGAGGAAAGTGGTTTTGGACCCGCGGAGAATCGGCCAGGTTACGGTTCACGAAGTGCTGCTTCCGGGGAATGCCACAGGGGAAGTTTGGAATGCTTCTTATGAGGCCGGAATGCCTGTTATAATGCACTACCGAGGCATCTTGAACCAAGAAAAGATGCCGAGATGTGTTAAAGTGAGATTGGAGACAGTGGAGAGCAAGGGTGAGGGAGAACAGCTAAACGTGATTGATTTCACGTTCTCTGATTACATTCAGCAAGTGTTGGCTGTAAAGAGTAGTTGAATGAAATGCAGTCAACATATTGCTGATTCAGTTATTGGATGAAATTGCTTAGGGTTTAGCTGGGCTGATTACTTCAAATGATCAAAATTCCACAACAGCCTTTGAAGCGGTGTATGAATATTATAAATATAGAAGTTGTCGTTTCTTGTGGTCCCATGATCTAGCGGTTATGATGTCAGACTTTGAATCTGATCCTGAGTTCAATTCTCGGTGGGACCTTTTGCTCTCTCCTGTTGCTCCATTCTCTTGATTACTGTACCCATTCCCGAATGTACAAGGCATCCTTTATCGTGCTGGACTGGTCACGCCGGACAGAGATTTCCAACGAAGCGCGAACCGTGTGGGCGCTTACTCTTGTGTACGGCGTGCTGCGTCCTGGAGTGAGCATAGATTCTGGCAGCAATTTGAGATTCCGTATCTGAGGTAGTAGATCACACAAAGCAACACGAAAGCAACAGCACAGCAGCACCTGCTGCGGGTTGAGACAGCGGGGAGAGTAACCGCACGTTTGAACGTCACACAACGACATTCTTCCGCCTCGCTGGCAGGCAGCTCAGCTATGGATCTAGTTATTGTATTGAGGTGAGGGGGCCAAAACGCTCGAGGACCAGGATGGCGTGGCGCATTCGTCACTTGCACCGCGTCCCTCAGATCGTCATCCCTACGTGAATCAGCCCTTACCTCTGTCGGTTTCCAAGTCTACCGCACGCAACCTTCCGTCACGCTCCTTTGTGAAACATTCGCACAGGTTGATATATTCGGCCTCCCACTTCTGTGTAGCCTTGTCTTCGTCTCGTACGGACAGCTTTAATCTCAGCTTTCTAGCTCTTTCCTTGAGTAACTTCGGCCTCGCCAGGGGTTGTGATTTCAGCTTTCTCAGTCGCGTCGAGTCGAGCACCATAATGTTGACTCCACCTCGCTTTCATCGCAGGAGCTCCAGCGCCGTTTTGAATTTCGCAGAGCCCATCGTCGTCATGCTCCCTGACGGCTCCGCCAGACTTTACGCGACGGATTTTGACTCCGTTACGGTCACGGCGCGCCGAGTCCTTGGCCAGCATCCCGACCACGACGTCTTCGCTACCACCTCCGATGGCGGTTTCGCGCCGTTGTCGCCAAAGCGGGTGCTGAAGCCAGGAGGCACGTATCAGATCGTGCGACGCAATTTCTCGCATCCGCGGCCAACACAAATTGCTCATTCGATCGCAGCGCGTTCCAGAAGTTCCCCGGTCGATCTGGAGGCGGTTCGTTCTGGGACGATGGAACTTGACGTCAGATGTCGTCAGCCAAGATCCTGGGAAAGGAGGATTTCAACATCACTTCGCGATCGACCTATTAATAGCACAGGCGCGTCGGAGCAGCTAACGCAAATGAGACAGGGCGGTGATGACACCGCAGGGGGAACAGAGCAAGAAAGAGATAACCGCAGCAGTTCGGGCTACTATCCGTCCAGTGCGCTCGTTCTACCGAGGGTTTCATGTCCAAGACCTGGGACCTCGGATGGCACTTATCGAGGCAATCCTGCGTCCTGTAGTCGCAATTTTGGGAGGTCGCAGTCCTGCAAGAAATCCATCTCAGATCTTATGAAGGCTGCTCAGCTACAGCAATTGGCTGGAGAGACAAGGATTAATTGATACTCCAATCTGGAGCTCTGCTCTGGTGGTGTCACAATAATTATCAAATGTACAATTATTGCTGACATCTCAAACACTCCAAACATCCATCTCTCTGTTGCTGTTTCATTCATTGTGGAATGATAATAGAATTCGTTTGTGGTGGTGTTTTCATTATGTGCATTTGTTGGGGTCATTGTAACAGCTAGCACTTCAACCCAACACTACCGAACACTCATCGTCACCAATTTTTTAGGTGTGCTCGGCATCGGCTGTGCCGTCAATGGGATCCTCTGGACTTCGATGGCGCACATCGCCTTGGGATCAGGAGCATCGAGAACCAGCTCCGCTCCTCGCGGAAGATCGAAGGCCTAGATTGGTTCTCCGCTGGAAAAAACAAACAATCGAGGGGTAGATGTGTTCCGATGTGGCACCAGCCAGTGGGTTGCCGCAGCGTCACCAGAGATCAAATGGGTGCGCGGTGTACACTTATCGCCTCACCACCACAACATCACTCGATTGGACCCTCGGGTCGAAACGGTGGGGGTGGGGGGACGAGAAACAGAAGCATTTTCCGCGATGCCTAGGAAATGGGGGAGCGGGGGGCGATGCAAGAGCTTTTCTGCAAGGAATGTAATACACGGTACGGAGATTTAAATTTAGATATATTACGGTGAAATGCGGTGCGAAGGAAACATCCCCCAAAAGGGGGAAGAGCAACTTCAAGGCAGTCTAGGAGGCACAGAATCTAGCACCCAGGTTTTGCCAACTTGTCTTGCTGATCTGTTGGTTCACTCCTAGAATGCAGGTCTTGATTGTCGGAATGCCATGGATTATGGTTGACTGACAAATCACAGAAACTGTTCGTTTGTCCCTAGGTTGCTTGAGGATAGACGTGTCAGGTGTATGCATTAGGGCCCCGTTTGAAATCTGCCGCTTTCCGTTAGTTTTATTCAGCACTCTTCGATGGCGCTGGACGTTCCTTGGGGACAAGGCTGGGCTCTCGCCGGTGCTGGCGCGTTACTGATCGCCTTGTACTGCTACACCGTAGTCAAACCCACGCGAATCGGTCTTCCCAGGCTCATCGTCTCCATACCAGCTCTTACGGCGAACATCTTTCTTCCATGGATCTTCCGGCAAGAGGATCAAATTCTTGGCGTCGTGATTGTCTACTGCATCACGACATGGCTCAGCTCATTCAAGCTCCTCTGCTTCTGCTGGAACACTGGAGTTCTTTCCAGTCCCTGGATTTCGTCCGACATTTACCGATTCGTCGCAGCTCTTTCCCTCCCTATTCACATCCAGCCGATTTCTAAGGAGGTCTCTGGAAAATTGGATCCTGACGTGACTAAGCAGGGCGTGATTGGTTGGATAGCTGATGCCGTGCAGTCGGAGACATGGTCTATGCTCTTAATCCGGAGCAGTTTTAAGGTGTTTGTGTTTTATCACCTGACGAAGCTCATGGCGTATCTCGACGTCGCTCCGCTCTTCTTAATGCACGTCGTCTTATCCTGTAACCTCTTCCTCTTTGTAACCATCGTCTGCGAAACTTTCGCCGGCGTCGCAGCAGCGTTCCTGGACATCAAGATGCTGCCTCATTTCAATCACCCGTACTTCGCCACGTCATTCCAAGAGCTCTGGTCGCGACGGTGGAATCTCACCGTCAGTGCGTGCCTTCGCGAAACTATTTTCGAGCCCGTGAAATTCGCCATCATGTGGTGTACCACTCCCCTTACAGTCACATCCTCAATTCGTCAGAGTCGTGAAAGAGCCGCATCAGCGTCTTCTGAAGCAGAATTTGCAGTGTCTGGAGCAGCAGCAGCAGCAGCAGCAGCAGCAGCAGCAGGGACATCTGTGATGCCGAATGGGGAGAAACAGAACGGTGGGGTACATTGTAACGGAGCTGAACGGAACTCTCAGAGCAACGGTCAAGGCGCTGACGACGTTTCGGATAAAGCAGCAATGGCGGAGAATAGACTAGCGAAGCTGGTAGGGATGCTGGCGACGTTCTTTGTGTCCGGATTGGCTCACGAGATGGCCGTTTGGTACATGAGTAACCGGGTTACAGGCGAGATGACTATGTTCTTCACTCTCCACAGGGTAGTTTCGGCGACAGAATGTTACATAATGCGTCAGCGGTCAGGGAAAGGAAGCCAGAGCAGAAAGGCCGAGAAATCTGCACCAGGGGGAGCCACTCACTCTGGCATAGCTTCTAGAAACGAAGCACGGCTGAAGCTGTGGGGGTGGAAGGATGTAGCCAAGTGGATATTCGTGGTAGGGAGTTCCCTTGTTTCCGCGCATTTCCTCTTCTTTGGTCCTCTCACCAGACTGAGGCTGAGCCATGAGGTCATCAGAGAAGTGCGGACTGCTTTTGGGCACTTTTCACAGGCTGGTCAGGGAGAATGAAATCAAAATCACTCCAGGGAGTGAGATCTCTCTGGGAGCGTAATACCCTTTGGGTGCGTGGAAAAGGTGAGGGGGCACATGCGAGCAACCTTACAGCAGCTTTGCAGCAGCATCTGAGATAGCACCTGGGTTGGTAGCGTGGTTTCTGCTTCCTAGTGGTTACAGTTTTGAGGGCACAAGCATATGCTTAGAAGCAGAAGCAGATATGGAAGGTCCGAGCTGGAATCGGTTCACTCTGAGAGGATTTGCAGCTGCAGGTTCGAACAGCTGGCCCTTTCATCCTCAGGAATCCAGATGTGCAGGGGGGATGCCTGGATTGTGCTTGTGCTGGTGGAAGGGTTGCTGCAGGGAGGATTTTGCTGAAGGGTGTTTCAGACACTGCGCTTAGGAAACTCGAGTAAGAGCTCTTTAGGCTTGCCCAGCAACAGCAAGATTCTGACTGCCATGTTGTGCTGGTTTACCAGTTGTGGTATTTGGCAAGAACGGGGGCAGGTCTACAATCAGGTGGCCGTAGTTCGCATCATGCATAGACATTCGCATTGAATTGCTGCACAAGCACAGCTATTCCTTCGTATTGGAGGATACTAGCAATTGATCAACACATTGAATTGAACTACCGTACTAGTACCATGCAAGAGCTAACACCCACTCGGGCTGCAAATCCTTGTGGGTGGAGCATCTATTGAAGACAAAGGACATCACAAAACCACGCTGGTCTCCAACGTGAACAAGCGGTCTAATGAGGCTCTAGGGATAGACAAGCAGTGAACTGCATAAGCTACATGTGTGCACACACACTAATACGTGGCTTGGAGGGGAGGTCCAGACAGGTATCTCTCACTAGGAAGCATGGCGTACTCGTTTCTGACTGCTGCATTACCTCTTCGTTCCCTTACGGAATCCTCGCTTAGCCTGACCTGCGCCCTCTGCCTGCGTGTCAGCCCAGAAGCATAACTGTGCCACTCATCGCAGTGCTCAAAGGGGTGTTCACCCCGCTGTGCAGCTTCAAGGGAAGGAGCGCGCTGGAGTTCCCCAGGAGCAGACGGGTTAGTCCGTCCTGCAGGTCCTCTGGAAAATTGTGTCTCAGTGATCTCAGAATGCCATTCCTGCTGTGCGAATCCTCCCTGCCGCCCCATGCCGGTGCTGCTTCTAAACCCGGGCGGCGCGCGGTGGCGGATGCGCGTGTCCGTCATCATGAGCACAGGGCCTTCCACGTCAACCCAGCCCTGTGCCGACTCAGCATCGTTACCATACATCAGCCCCATATGACTGATGCCACGACGAGCACCCACAGCCATTGCGGGCGGCGCGAGGTCCCCTTGGCGCCTGGCGAACTTCACGCTTCCAGGCGGAGGCGCAGCAGCCATGGCTTCCTTGCCGGACGACGAAGCGGACGCGGCGCGCCGCAGATGCCGTGGGTTGAAGCGCGCGATGGCCGCCAGCACCTTGCCCTTCAGCGACGCCGCTTCCGCGACGGCGGACGGCGGGGCGCGGGGAGCGCGGGATGTGCCGCCGGATGTCGCAGCCGCGGTGGCGGGGCTGATGCACCACGCGCCGGCCTCAGCAAGCGCGTCAGGCTCTTCAAGAGGTAGGTCAAGGGGAAGCTCCTCTTCGAGAACCGCCAACTGCGGAGAGCAGCACGGGAGGGGAAAGCGTCAAGGTTCGAACGGCCAGCAATTTGTATCTCTCCCCGTCAAAATATGACGGGAGTCTTTCGATACCCTACTCAGTGATCTGTTCAGATTATTGCTCGAAAGTCTTAACATTAGAGATTATAACCAGCGAATGCTTCTTACCTCGGCGAGGATGGGATTCGGCGTGGCTCGCGGGGAAGGGGACACGTGGCATCGCGATGGAGCCTCATCGGCGTGAAGCCCGGAATCGTCGCCGCTGCTGCGCTGCGCGCCGCTATACGAACTCGAATTCTGGCGCACAGGCGCTTTTGAATCGGCGGTGTAGTAACCGTGACGGCCGTTATAAGAAATTGACGGGCCGTCGTGATCGTATTGGCTCCAGTCCGACTCATAATCATCGTTGTCGTCACCGTCGGCTCGGCCCGAGCCAAAGCTGCTGCCTCGGTCCGAACCGAAGCTTTCGTGCGCGGCGAAGCAGGTTTCGAGTGTCTCCCCGCGGCTCTGCGTGCTGCTGCTGGTGCAACTTGGCGACTCAACGGCCGACGACGACGACGACGATGCGCGCGACCACACACCGACGGTTTGAATTGACTCAATTGCCGCCGCCGCCGCCGCCGTCGCCGTCGTTGTCGTCGTCGTCGTCGTCGTCGTCGTCGGAAACGTCGCAGCTTGATGGAACGACACGTTCTCGACGCTTGCCTCTAGGTCGCGTCGATAAGCCCACCCGCCGGCGGCGCCACTTCGCAGCGGGATCTCGCCGTCGCTCACGGCGCGGGGGCTGCGCGAAGGGAAACTCGCCGGCGCGCGAAAGGCGGATGTGCCGGCCCAAGCCGCAGGAGGTGGGGTCGCGAGACGGATTAAGGAGGCCTCTTCGCGAGCGGACACGCGTCTTGGCGTGAGAAAGTAGGTTTCGCCCGGCAGAAGCGGGGCGGACGGGGAAACGAGACTGTCGAGCGACGCAAGGCTCATGCTGGGGAATTCTGACAGGACGGTTCGGGCGGAGAGTGGCTCGTTGTCGTGGGAGAAGAGGCGAATCGAGCCGTCGGGGAGCACGACGATAACGGGCTCAAGGCCGTCGAAGCTCGCGATGCGGACCCGGGGCTTACTCGAAGATTTCCGGCCAGCCATGACTTTGCAGAGAAAGTGGAATCAGTGGTTTGTTGTTGAAACTGGAAGAACGGATGTAGAAAATGCTTGCTTTGTGCATTTTTTTATTGTTGAGGTTGATGTGGTGGAATGATGAGGGACGAGCAGAACTGCCGAGAGAGCGACGCGAGATTCTATCGCCAATGCAGTTTGAGTGCAATGCTTGGGGAGGAAGTCGTTGGGAAAGTGGGGGAAGTGGGGAGCAGCTGGATGGCGAATGCGGGGGTGGGGGGAAATGGGGAAAGCAGGGGAGATCGATTTTAGATATTTTACGATATCTCTCCGGTTCCAGATATTTGTTGTCACTCTGCGTTGGCAGCATGGGAACTGGCAGTGCCTGAACATTTTGAACGAATGACAAGAATGCCCAGCATGACCAGAATAACACTGCAGTACAGTATTTAGGGGGGACGATGGGGTTCAACCGGCATATTTCTACAAACATTAACAATGATGAGCAATGAACAGCTCTACAGTATTTCAGCTCACTTCATAGTTTTTAGTCACGCATGTCTGCAAAAACTCACACTGACTCGAATTGCACGCTGCACTCGAGTGCCACGGTGCACGTACAAAGTGCTTCGCCACCAATCAATATTCGGCTACACGCTGGAAAGTTCACACGGGGGGCACCTTTCTTGCCTTTTTCGTTGCAGTCCGTCCCATCCGCGACCTCGTCCGCATTCCCGTTGGTTGATGGGGATGAAGGAATTCTCACGAAAGCAGCCCGCCCTGGTGTTGTTCTGATTGGGTGGCTAATGGTCATAAAACGTTTCAGAAAGGTTAAGTACGGTAATAGTGGCGCAGATAAAGGAAACTGTAAAGATTCTGCAAATGTTTTTCCTCCAATCTCGGAAAAGAGAATGCTAGGTGCGACAGTTCCGTCACCGCGCCACAGGTCATATGAACAGCAAATGCATGACATGAACTTGTCTTCTTCAAACACGGACAACTGGCTTGAACAGATACGTACACCCGACTTCCGTCCACCAGCTTCTTCGTGAATAGTGCGCGCGTAAGACTAGTCCGGATGCAACATGGAGCAAGAAATATCATTATATGTACATTCTGTTCAACAAGCTCTATATCATTTACATCCCCTACCCAATCATAAACACAACAGCTGAAATATTGCATGTCAACTGATTGTGCTTGAATTGGTTTACCGGTTCTCAAATATCAACTACATAAGAACATCAATGCCACCTTCATGTATGCCATGTTGTATAAGATGTATATATTATATATCTTGGACGACAACTACTCGATTTGTTGAAGCGCCATACGTTTCTATCGGAAGTGATAGCGGCGCTGGTTCTTGAGTTGAATAATGTAGCTAATTAGTCAGATTTCTATGTTGGAACTACGATTTAGGAGAGATGGTGTAGATGAGCTTGATCGGGTGCTCGGTAAGCAGGTATGCGGGCGACCGACATCTTTGACATTCGTTTCCAGCCACCACTGCTGCGGCCTGGCAATTCCCGCCTTTCAAATTTCAGCACATGCACCACGACGGTCCGCACTCATCGAGTCGCCTTCCAGCCAAACCAGTGGAATTTCCCGCGTCTCCTTACAACACCAGCGGTGGCCCGCTGCTTTCCAATTTTGAAGGCGCGCAAAAAACACAGCTCGCACCACCGCACTCGATTTTCGTTTGGGTCGTGTTGCTACCACACACACACTTCGCCTCACCCAACGTTCAGAAAGAGATACGGGACGGAAAGGAAGCGTCCTTGCAAGTAGTATGGTAGTCGTTTTGTCAAGCGCGGAAACGGCTATTGTTCTCCTTCGGTGGCAAGGTACGGTACCCCCGAAGCCTTGCCGAACCGCTCCCACAGAACAGACGACCGACGAAAACACGGCGAGTTGAGTTGCCTGTGCCTGTTGATGGTCTTTAAAAATAGCTCAATGCAAACTTTGGACAGTCAGTCACTGCTCACATCTCCATTCGCATTCTCGAGCCATCGAAACTCACTATCTTGTGAGTGACAGTTCTCATTCGACGCAATATCCCTTGCTTGCCTTTGAGTCGACACAAAAGCATCCCGATCCAGAAACATCAAGTCTGATCCTTCGATTCTAGTCGATCAGCCACGCCAGCCAGCCTCAGTCGACAGACTTGACGCGAGTCAAACAGAGCCATGGCTCGTTCAGTCGCCTTCGCCGTCGCTTTAGCCGCGCTGGCCGTCATCTGCGCCGTGTCGAGCGTCAGCGCGATAACGCCGGTAACAACGCCTGCTCCGACCGGCAAGGGAGCGCCGGCAACACGAACGGGAGCAGCGCCGAAGCCGAAGCCGCCACCGACGAAGACGCAGCTGCGCGCCGAGCTGAAGAAGCTGACGACGACGATCACGCAGAAGTACCCCAAATACTCCAAGTACTCGGCGCAAGTCAACAAGGCCATCAACGTCGCCCGTGAGTGCCCTCGCAGCACGCAGAGCACCTGGAAATTGCGCCGCGGATCATTGAACGCTCAGAATAGGGCCTTGAAGTAGTCGTACTAGAAGCGGCTTCTCAGTGTACCCACCCGTCGACTCGCCCGACGCTCCCTGACTTTCGATTTTACCATGCTGTTACGCCACAGTCTTTCCTATTCTCGCACGCTATATTGCCGCATTCGACTGTCCCACGCTTTATATCCTGCGGTAACAACTTCCGTCGACCATCCTTCCTTCCCTGACCGTGTAATCGTCTCACCCTTTTTCTCCCCTACTCCCCCGTCCATCCCCGATACAGTGAGCTCCAAGTACAACCTGACGGCGCTGCAGAGCTGCACGATTCTGCTGATGAGCGACGTGGTGGCTGACCGCCTGCAGCTGCGCTTCAAGGGCAAGAGGATCTCCAACGACGCGGCCTACAACCTCACCGCCGTGCAGATCATCGCGACGCGCCTCCAGCTGCCGGATCTGCAGGCGATCAAGAAGGGCCAGCTGCTGCCGACGCAGCTTAAGGGGGTAAACCTCGTGAAGATGTCGGCGGTGGGGCCTAAGGTGGTGCTGGGGCAGCAGGGCTTGCTGAGGCCCACGTGGAGCACGGTGCTGGACCCGCAGATGTACGTCGGCCCGTACATCGTCGCGCACGGTGTTGATAACCCGCAGTTCCCCGTGGGCACCAAGCTCCCCGCGTAACGCGAATACGGGAAACGGCCCGCTTGAAGGGTATACGGGAAAGGGCCCGCTTGTGAAAGCATATACGAATGCGGGTTATACGGCGCGCTTGTAGCGCGTATGTGATGTCTCCTTCCGCACGAGAAGCCTTACGGAGACACCAATGGCTACAGGTTCGGATAGAGTGTGCCATGTCAACTCACTGGCTATAGGTTTGGCGGATTAGTTGCTTTACATAGGAACATGAGGGAGGACCCATCACATATAGTTGATGCCCGTACACGCTCCAAGTTCTGCTGTGGAATCATTTTGTTTTTTTTTCAAGACCAATTTTGGAAGCAAACCTGATCAGTTAATCCAGGACTGACAAGCTCCATTGGAAGTCTTTTCAAGCCTCCAATGAGTAATGTTAGTGCTAAATTAATGCAAGCCAAATGATATATAAATGTAATGAAGCAAAATATGCCAACGGTTTAAACACTTTGGGGTAGAAGCCTAGTCTATTTTGTATGCGGTTTAGGATAAGCATAAGTAGTCCAGTAGATTTAGGGAACTCTATGGTCTGTAAGAAAATACTTAGGTTATCTGTTTACGATAATGAAGCAGTAGCGAAGTTTGTAAGCAAATATCTGAAGTTCCTGGGAACAGTTGGAACCATCGTTTGTGGCTCGGTGGTGGTGAGGTGAGGCTGTGGCCAACTGGGTTTCTGCGAGTTTCAGCACACCAATGGCAACGAGTCTCGTTTCAGTGGGCACAACACCATAGGCTCCCGCACTTCCGTGAGTGGTGGCAATTGACAGGCTACGAAATAGGCGACAGCATCATGTTTTCGCAAACCACCAAGGAGGAGAATCTCACGGTCATCAATGGTGCCACCTCTGCATACGAGTGCAAGTGGTTACCAAAAACTCCAGCTCGGTCCCTTCAAGGCTTCACAGATCTGGCGTGGCGAAGTGACGCTTGAGAACAGTTGACAGGGACTTGGAGAGTTCTCCCGTAATTGCTGGTTCTCCCCTGACGGGCAAGCTCCAAGGTGACAAGATACTGTTGGTGTCAAGCGGGAAATTCGCTTGACACCAGGTGGAGCCGCGCCCGCACGCGGCTCCAGCCTGGTGTCAATGTTGGGCACATTGGGCAATTTCCCGCGATCAGATTGGTCGGTTTAGCTGACACCAGGAGGACTAGTCCTCCATGCGTTTTCCGAGATAGTGTCATGACACCAACCGCTCTTGACACTAGCCAGGGATACGACCTGAGTTGGAGTCCACTCGAGTCCTGTTGACCTTGGGAATTGTGCTGGCAGCCACTCTGATGATATCTGGCTTTGTATTTCAGTTGATGAGGAATACAAGTCCAGTGTTTGCAAGAGATAGCTAAGACTGGTGAGCTACTCAGCACGGTGTGCCGTCCCGCTGTCCTGCTCCGGCTGTCTTTCCCTCGCGCAGATCAGCTGTCGATTAGCTTCTGTGTGCCGATCGATCAGACATGGCGGAGCAGAAGAAGGGATCGGTGTGGGGTGCCGTGAAGCCGTTCATGAACGGCGGAACGGCTGGTATGATGGCCACATGCGTGATCCAACCCATCGACATGGTTAAGGTTCGTTACTTGCATCCTGAAGCCGACCTAGTCTGACCGTTGGCGTTCTTGAACCTCGTGATCTTGAGCGAATCAACTGAACCATCCTATCACGATCCGTTACTGAACATTCACTGCTCGTGTTTCTGTTTTTATATATTTCTTTTGATTTTTTTTTCTTCCCTGTCGCCGATTTATTCCCTTGCAAACAACAGGTCCGGATCCAGTTGGGCCAGGGCTCGGCGTTTGATGTTACAAAGAATATTATCCAGAAGGAGGGCGTCGCGTCCTTTTACAAGGTAACGTCATGATTCGACACAAGGTTTTGGCACCCTCCTGATGGGTACGACCACGTTTCTTAAATCGAAGCATAATGGCTTTACGAAGTAAATCTCCAGCTGCGTCAACAAGGCTCGATCGTCCATTGTTCGTCCAGCGATTCTGTCTACTTCGTCGTCCAGAATGAGGATTGGCTGTTTCTGAAGGATGCCTTGCCGAGTCGAGATCTCATCTCGACTCTTGCCTCGCATTTTCAATTCCGATCCACGAAGTTTGCGTGCGAGTCGAGCACTCGCCATCTTGTCTTCTGCTGATCCCGTTACTATCCTTTCCCCTTTCTCTTTTCGCAACCCTTCAGGGTTTGTCTGCGGGTCTCCTCCGACAAGCCACGTACACCACCGCTCGCCTTGGATCCTTCAGGTACTTCGCATTCCTCAATCGCATACTGCATTGCTCTCGTAACACTCTAATACCAGACAACTACCTGTTTTAGCGAAGGTCCATGCATCCTCGCGCTTTTAAGCGTGTCAGCGCATGTCATGCCAGCGATGTGCATCGATAGTGCTAAGGATGTAGATTCGTAACACAACATCTGCTATGGAACCACATTGCGCGAAAGTGAGCCACTGAAATAAGATCTGGTCGACTCCAGGCTCAGCGCCGAGTGGATGGTTGTAAAAGACCGTAGCTCACAGTCTGATCGGGATGCCCCTCTTCATTTGCTCTCCGCGTCAATGCGACGAGGGATGCTGTAAGAGTGCAGGGCATGTTCACGAATCCCTACCCCCTCCGTATCCACTCCTCTTCAGGCAAATCCTCTAGAAGCCTCGTTTCGGGCTTTGTGAGGCCCATCCGTGAAGCTCTTGTTTCGCTCATCCCCAGGCACCTCGCTTGAACTCCCCCCGTCGCTTATCCGCAGGTATCTCACCACGGAAGCCACCAAGGCCAACGACGGCAAGCCCCTGCCGCTCTACCAGAAGGCGGCGTGCGGGCTGACGGCGGGCGCCATCGGCGCGTGCTTCGGCAGCCCCGCGGATCTCGCGCTCATCCGCATGCAGGCGGACTCCGTGCTCCCCGTGGCGGAGCGCCGCGGGTACAAGAACGCGTTTCACGCTCTAACAAAAATAGCGACGGACGAGGGCGTGACTGCGCTGTGGAAGGGCGCGGGCCCCACGGTGGTGCGCGCGATGGCGCTGAACATGGGCATGCTGGCGTCGTACGATCAGAGCATGGAGTACTTCAAGGACACGCTGCAGCTCAAGGAGATCCCTGCCGTTATCGGTACGTGCTTATAGCGGGGATGGGACAATATTGCGTGGGTTGTTAGGCGCGCGATGGCGCCGAACATGGGCCTGCTGGCGTCGTACGATCAGAGCATGGAGTACTTCAAGGACACGCTGCATCTCAAGGAGATCCCCGCTGTTATCGGTGCGTGCTTATAACGGGGATGTGTCGGTACTGCGTGGGTTGTTAGGCGTGCGATGGGGCGCTGAACATGGGCCTGTTGGCGTCGTACGATCAGAGCATGGAGTACGTTTAAGGACACGCTCCAGCTCAAGGATATTCCTGCTGTTATCTGTGCGTGCTTATAGCGGGGATGGGACAGTATTGCGTGGGTTGTTAGGGGGTGCGATGGCGCTGAACATGGGCATGCTGGCGTCGTACGATCAGAGCATGGAGTACAAGGACACGCTGCAGCTCAAGGAGATCCCTGCTGTTATCGGTGCGTGCTTGTAGCGGGGATGTGACAGTAATCAGCGTGGGTTTAGAGGGGAGTTCTGGTAGTGGGGGGCATGACGCTGAACGTGGGCAGGCTGGCGTCGTACGGTGGGACCACGTGGAACATGGTTTGCTCTATCTCTCTCCTTCTCTCGGCCACCCCCCTCCCTCGTTTGTTTTAACCCCCGGAAACGAGCCTGGTGTTTCGCCTGCTGTCCCGATCCTGCCTGATTCCCGCATCCATCATTCCCCCGTCCCTCACCCCTCCGGTGCGAGCGCGGTGTCGGGATTTTTCGCGTCAGCGTGCAGTCTGCTTTGACTACGCGGATCCAGATGCAGAAGCCCTCTTGCCTCTTCCGCTTTGCTAACCGCGCCAACTCCCCCCCTCTCCCCTCCCTCCCCCCGTCCCCCACCCCTCAGGCGCGAGCGCGGTGTCAGGCTTCTTCGCATCCGCATGCAGTCTTCCATTCGACTACGTGAAGACACAGATTCAGAAGCAGAAGCTCTGAATCTCCCTCTCCCCCGTCCTTTCTCTCATCCCCCACCCCTCAGGTGCGAGCGCGGTGTCTGGGTTCTTTGCGTCCGCGTGCAGTCTGCCGTTCGACTACGTGAAGACGCAGATTCAGAAGCAGAAGCCGGGGCCGGACGGCAAGCTGCCGTACAGCTCGTCCATGGACTGCGTCATGCAGACGCTCAAGCAGGGCGGCCCGCTCAAGTTCTACACCGGCTTCGCCACCTACTGCATACGCATTGCGCCGCACGTCATGGTGCGTGTCGGTTCAGTGCGGTGGTGTGGGTGGGCTTGACGTGATTTTGTGTGCTGCTTTGGGGTCTTGGTGGTCGGTATGGTGGGGTTTGGATATGCCACTCAATACCGCTCAAGTAGGGCGCCCGCCTCAAGTTCTACACCGGCTTCGCCACCTAATGCATACGGATTGCGGCCCACGTCATGGTATGTGTGGGTTGGGTGTAATGGTGTGGTTCGGTTTGATCTTGGGGTGTGGGTGCGGCTGTTGGGGTAGAGTGGGTTTGATGTCATGTCATCTCGCTTTGCATTGTGGTAGCTTGTCTAGTGTTCCCAAGGCTTTGTCTGACTCTTGTGGTTCTAATGCGGTGCCTTGCTGTGCCCCTTCCTCTTGCCTTGTCCCTGCAGCTGACCTGGATCTTCCTCAACCAAATCCAAAAGCTTCAGAAGGCCAATGGCTTGTAGCGAGCCCGTGCACCTGGCTGAACCCGTTGTTACAGAAACCATTCTCTATTCTATACACTAGCTAGCTCGCCGACATATCTCCTACAAGATGCCGCTGATTCATTAAGGTGGATAAGCTCATTTGGCCTCAGGTTTCAATGATAACCCCAAACTCACAAGAGTACAGTGTGTAAGAGTGTAGACGAACAAAGCTCCTGCAACCTGTTATAGTAGAATGGGGACTACAGCGGCACCTGTTAGATGCTGGAAGTGAGGTTTAAATGTCACTGAATTGGAGCTTTAGTTCAGTCAAGATTGAAGAGTGAGAGTTTATTTGCAACACTGAGTCATAGGGTAATTGTAGAAGGATCTGGCTGGCTGGAGGGCTTGAGCAGGTGGCATTGTGGAGATTGACACAGGATAGAGCAAGCATCATGCCATGGAGCAGGAGAAAGAAACATGGAGTTCACACATCATTTCATTGAACACACATTTATTATACATAACAGACACATACTAGGCAAACTATACACTCGTGTACGAGGTCACACATGAATACTATTGATGGTCTGAGGATGATTCTGATAATGTTAGCGCAGTTTTTGCTGCTGCTGCTGCTGCGGCTAAGATATGAGATGACGCCGATTTGAGATAACCCTGTCCTCGCACACGAGCTATATACCCTTTTCCCCACGTTGCTTCAGTAGAAGATTCATCAACCCCTTCTTATACCGACCCCATCGAGCCCGACCCGAGCTCTACGTGATCTTGAGAGTGGCCTTGATGCCGTTGAGGCAGTCCTTGCCCTTGCTCACGAAGTAGAACGTCTTCCCCAGATCGGTGGGTTGCGGGATCCACAGCACGTGGCCCGCGCCCGACGGCCGGAAGAGCTCCTTGGTGCCCTTGACGTTGCACGTGGCGAACTTGACCGGGTCCTCCATCATGTACACGCTGTGCACCTCGCCCGTCATCCACCGGAACACTGTAACGGTAACGGGGTTTGCAGTACGGGGGATGGAAATGGGTTGGTACTGGAAGGTGGCGAGTTGGGAAAATGAGTAAGGGTAACAACGCATTTGCGTAAAAGTGGAGCTTGTATGCTGTCTAGATTTATTTTTACTTACTGACAACATCGAATGGATGTACAGCTGCAGCGCGGTACTTCGACACGGTAGGGCCCCACGGATTGAGCGGGTTACCATAACCGAACCCCACGCAAATGATTCGCCATCCTTTCGGTGTCGGCGCTGCTCAGAGGGGAAACGCAAGCGGAAATAGCGGAACGGGAGGGGAATGGAGGTGAGGGCGAAGCATGCGACGTGTCGCTCTGAAAGAACTACATGCCGGCCTGGTATGTTGTGATAGGACTGCGACATTAGCCTTTGCAGCGTATTACGAGAGCGTCTATGTGCAGAATGTGTTACATTCTTGTGATTAGTTTTTTACGCATTGCCACCTTTTCATGGGTGTCACAGGCAAGCCGACTCACCAAGAAGAGCAAGGCTGGCGAGAAGAAGAAGTGCGATTTTTTGCGACGCCATGCGGAATGTGCGGTGTCGCCTTGTTCGTCGTGCGTCAGTGATGAACTTTCAGCGGAGTGCAATAGAATATGCGTGCTTAGCACCAAGAGGTGTTTCGACTGTCACTGAGGAAATGCAGCTCGTGCTCAATGTGAAGGCTTAAAAATCGTCAGGATAGAGAGGGTATGGAGCATGAGGGGGGAATAAAGAGAGCAACTGTCTTCAATTGTCAGATATCGATACGGCTTTGTAGTAAGTGGGATGAGGTGGAGCTGGGGAAATGGAGGTGGGCGACAACGACATGTTACAGTAATTTCACCTCTGCGACCCCTGCCTTTGTCTCGTGGTATCGTCGCGAACGCTTCGCATGAATATCGACGAGGTCGCCAAGGTCGTGGTCAAAGTTCGGTTTGTTCGTTGCTGCGCTGGACTCCACGCGTTCAGGGCAGCTGTTATCTACACGGAGAAATGCAAGGACAACCAATCATAGTGTTCATTGCAGCCACGTTGGGCGCTATTATTCACGGGGCGCCACGCTCGCGCCGCAAACGCAAGGTCACGTCTGGGACCGCGCGGCCATCAGGAAGACGTGATTGGACCGCTTACACGTGTGGCAATCCTAATGGCTATGACAAACTGTGCACAGATTGGTATGCACGCGCTTTTCTGGTTGTTGTGGGAAGGACCCCACCTTCCTCAGGGGAAGCGAGAAACTTTTGTCGCAAATTGGTTTCGCGAGTGAATGTGTCTCGCAACCCAACCGAGCCTCTGTGCCTGCCATCCGAACCTATTTTTTTTAGCGTTGACTTCCGTTGAGTAATTCAGGTATTGGCTTTAAGGCTGCATGCCATCAGGAAAAATCTCATCACAAGGGACCCAGGAGTCGGATTGTAGAGGGATGAGCAAGGGGCGAACACGAACATGTTCGTGTTCGCCCCTACACGAACACATCCGTTTGCCGAACCGAACACTGTTCGGTTCGGCGAACACTTTAAGCAAAAACAGGTGTTCGCCGTTCGCCTGTGAAGGCGTGTTCGGGCGAACCTCGAACATGTTCGTGTTCGTCGCGGGGCAAATTGCAGCAGCGGCCCGAACACGAACGTGTTCGGGCGAACCTCGAACAGTGTTTGGCGAACACTTTAAGCAAAAAAAACAAACCTGTTCGGTTCGCCTCGAACGTGTTCGAGGCGAACCGAACAGGTGTTCGCCCTTGTGCTCATGTCTCAGCTGGCTCATTGAAGTATATCGATGTGCAAAAGGGACTGGAGGCTTTTGAGACAGGATATACACATCATGCCGTGGAGCAGGAGGAAGAAACGACATTTATTGTACGTATAATTAGTGAAACATTCAAGATACATAACCCTAGGCAAACTATACACTCGCGTACTAAGGACAAGCACGAATGATGTTCTGGAAATGACTCCAATAACGTCAGCGCAGTTTGCTGCTGCTGCTGCAGCTGCTAGCATCTTCGAAACCCACCACTATTGGTTGGCATTTTCAGCGTAGCCTCAGAGGTGACACCATTTTGCGGCAAACCCTTTTTGTGGACACGAGCTAGATACAAATCCCCACATTGCTTCGGTAGAAGCCCCACCAGCCCCCCTCCCAATCGACCCATCGAATCCGATTGGAGTTCACGTGATCTTGAGAACAGCCTTGATGCCGTTGAGGCAGTCCTTGCCCTTGCTCACGAAGTAGAACGTCTTGCCTTTCTCGCTGGGCCCGGGGATCCACAGCACGTGGCCCGCGCCCGACGGCCGGAAGAGCTCCTTGGTGCCCTTGACGTTACACGTGGCGTATTTGACCGGGTCCTCCATCATGTACACGCTGTGCACTTCGCCCGTCATCCACCGGAACACTGTAACGGTAACGGGGTTCGCAATACAGGGGATGGAAGAGGTTTGGTACTGAGCCAGTGGCGAGTTGGGAAAATGCGGAAGAGTATATGTAAGAATGCATTTGCGTGATAAAAAGAAAGCGTTTATGATTCGTTTTTATCATTATTTTTACTTACTGACTACATCGAATGGGTGTACGGGTCCAGCTTTGTACTTCGTCACGGCAGAGCCCCACGGATTGAGCGGGTTACCGTAACCGAACCCTACGCAAATGATTCGCCATCCTTTCGGTGTCGGCGCTGCTCAGAGGGGAAACGCAAGCGGAAATAGCGGAACGAAATGGGTAGGTACAAGAGGTGAGGGCGAAGCATGCGGTGCGCTACCGATGGGCTTGGAAGTTCCCACTTTCATTGCTGCATAGCACATAAAGCCAATTATAGTATTTTTTGCAATATGCGTTACAATCGTGTGAGTAATTACAATCTTGCGTTTTGCGCATTACCACCTTCTCGTGGGTGGGACAGGCAACAAGTCTCACCAAGAAGAGCGAGGCTGGCGAAAAATAGTAGAAGCGCGAACTTTGGCAACGCCATCCGAATGCGCAGTGTCGGCTTGCTCGTCGTGCGTCAGTGCAGCTGATTGCGATGAATTTCCAGTGGAGTCCGCTTAATAAGCGCCAAGAGGTGGTTCGACTGTCACTGAGAAAATGTAGCTCGTGCTGTCACCTCGCAGAAAGGTTCGAAAGCGGTTGTGATACGAGAGAATCTATGGAGCGATAGGGGAATGAGCAAAGCAGCTGTCTCTAATCGTCAGATTTCAGTCAGGCTTTGTAGTAAGCGGGGGTGAGTTGGACTTGGGAGATACGGAGGTGGGTGACAAGGACATGTAACAATAACTGTGGCTCTGCGAAGAAAGGTCAGTGTCTCGTGCTAACGTCGCCTACGCTTCGCATGAGGCTGGGCGTGTTTGCAATGATCGTCGTCAAATTTCGGTTGTTCGTTGCTGCGCTGGACTCCACGCGTTTGAAACCAGCTGTTTCCTATTCGCTAAGTGCTCGGCAAACCAATCACAGTTTCTATTGCAGCCACGTCGGGGACTATCCTTGGGGGCGCGCCACGCTCGCGCCGCAAAAGCAAGGTCACGTTTTGGGAGCGCACAGCCTTCAGGAGAACGTGATTGGACCGCTTACACGTGTGGCATCCATGCTGGCTTGGAGGTGTATGCCAGCAGTCAAAATCTCGACACAAGTTGACGGTTCGGAAGCATTGTTTTGGGAAGCTTTAGTTTGAAGTGTGTTGACGGGGCAGTTAAAAACACAGTATTTTCTGAGAGCAGGTGTGTTGACGGTTTGTTTCACAGCCAACATAACCCGCATGTGTATATAGCACTTCTTTCGAAGGGACGTACTGACTACAAAAACGGGAAAGGGCTGAAATGGACGACATCAGCATGGCCTCGTTTCCTCAGAAGCATCGGCCTGGCGAAGTTGCTCGCGAACGAACGCGAGTGTGGCGGGCTTGCAGCAGAAGGTGCCAGAAACCGACAAAACCTACGGGAGCGTGGGTGGCAGGCGCGTCTTCGTCATTACGGTTTTTCACGAAACTGTGTGGATACATACAAAGCAATTACACCAAAGCTCCAGTAGCAGTTGCTTATTTGAAATGAAGACAATATTCACATGCTTATTTACACTCTACTGCTAATGAAAATTACCTTGCACAATATATCCTGCTAAACTTTACTGCCTGTAGCAGCTACCCGGAAGAACAGGTTCGGATCGCGCAAGTGGGTTGTCTACTGGGGCAGCGGCAATGCCTCGCTGAATAAGCAAACATCGGAACATGTGCATTCTATAATGCGGACCGTCCCTCATGCTGTCCACATATGCCTTGGGACTCCACATGCGCTCTGGAAGTACGCGGGGGAGGGGAGGAAGGGGGATGAGGAGGAGGTGGAAGGGTGTGTGGGGTAGGGCACTTGCGAGAGTCCTCAGAATTGACTCATAAGTGAGAAACTATCAAAAGATTACACCCGCCATGGCAGCAGCACGTGGCCAAACGGTTGGCATGAAATTAGTGTGGAAGCACTTATGAGAATGTGATTCAAGCGCATCCCACCTGCTACGGCAGCAGCACGTGGCCAGACTGTTGCCATGAGTTGAGAGGGGTCGATCCTCTCACTCCAAGAACACACCTCCCCTCCCACCACCACCCTCTCTGCCAACTCCTCAAGCTCCTCCCACCGCCTCCTCTTCTCCTCTTCCCTTCTCCGCTTCTCCTCCTCCCTTCTTGTCTCTCCCCCCTCACCTCCCTCCCTTCTCCTGCCCACTCCAGGACCCTTCTCCTCACTCCAGCCCCTGCTGACGTGTCCCTTCCCTTCCCCTCATCCCCCCCCAACCCTCGCTCGCCTCGATCCCCCTCCCATCCGCCCACAGCCATGTGACTTCTTTTCCCTCTTCCCTGCTCTCCTCCTTGCTGCTCCTCCCCTCGCTCGCCTTGGCCCCCCTCCCATCTGCCTACAGCCATGTTACTTTCTTTCCCCCCTCCCTGCTCTCCTCCCTGCTGCTCCTCCCCTGCTTCTCGTCTCAGTGTCTCTCCCCCTCCATCCTCTCCCCTCCCCCCCCTCGTTTCACCTTCTTCTCCTCCCATCTTCTGCATGCCCCCCCCACTGCCCGACTCAACTCCGCCATTCACATCCCCATCTCCACCCCCTCCCATATCCCCTCCCCCTCTCGCCCCTGCACCCCCCAACTCCTCCACTCTCCACCTCCCTCGCAGCCGCTCCAGCAGAACCGCAGTGGGGGTCTCTCCCCCTCCCCCTCCCCTCCCCCTCCCCCTCCCACTCCCCCTCCCACTCCCACTCCCGCTCCCTCTTCCCCCCTCTCAGCCCACAAACTCCCAGACCCATCCCCACTGTCCCCAACCCCTCCACCTTCCACATCCCCACCCCCCTCCCCTCCCCCCACATTCCAACCCTCCTCCCCACTCCCCACACGCCCACCCCCCTCCTCTCTGCCTGAATTCCAACCCTCCTCCCCACTCCACTCACCACCACTCCCCCCGTCCCCACTCCACACATCCCCACCATCCTCCTCGCTCTCCATCCTCTCCCGTTCCACCTGCAGCACCAGGTTAGCGGGATCCTCTCTATAAGCATGCTCCCAGCGGGACTGTAGCGAATCCAGGTACCACCCTCCCCCCGCATTCGTGTGAACGATGCGGAAACCCCACGCTGCCATGTTGGGCAGCTGGTCGGTTTTCAGCCTGGGACGGGTGGGTTGGTCAGAGGAAGACGAGAGGACAGGTGGGGCTTAGAAGCAAAGGGGAGAAGTGGGCAGGGAGGGGGTAGAAGAGAGGTACCACCCGCCCCCGGCATTCGTGTGAACGATGCGGAACCCCCACGCTGCCATGTTGGGCAGCTGGTCGGTTTTCAGCCTGGTTGAGACAAGAGGAAGGAGGGAATTGAAGACAAGGGGAAGGAGATGAGGTGGGCAGAATAAAGGTGCCTCCCGCCCCTGGCATTCGTGTGAATGATGTGGAACCCCCACGCTGCCATGTTGGGCAGGTGATCAGTTTTCAGCCTGGTTTAGACGAGTGGAAGGAGGAAATGAGGAGGGAGGACTGAGAAGCAAGGGAAAGAAACAGGCAGGGATGGGGCAGAAGAGAGGTTCCACCCGCTCCCAGCGCTCCTTCTTGGCGATTCTCCGACGTTGCCCCCGGCATTCGTGTGGATGATGCGGAACCCCCATGCTGCCATGTTGGGCAGGTGATCGGTTTCCAGCCTGGAGAAAGGGGTGAGGCAGAGCACTTCTATATTGGTATAAGAGACGAGGAGCAAGGAGGGAACGAGGAGGAGGGATGGAGAAGCAAGGGGGAGGAGATGGCACGGGATGGGGCAGAAGAGAGGAACCACCCTCCCTCCCCCTGGATTGCTGCAACAGCGGGGAGCAAATGAGCAGAAGGGAGCATTTGGGCAGATGGGAGCATGTGGGGCGAAGGGAGCGTACCAGCTTTGCACGATGGTGGTTGCGGGATTGAGGTGCCTCCTGACATTGAAAAACGACTCCTCCCTGCAGCCATGCCACCATGCCGCCATGCCGCCATGCCACCATGCCGCCATGCCGCCATGCCACCATGCCGCCATGCCACCATGCCGCCATGCCACCATGCCGCCATGCCACCATGCCACCATGCAGAGAGGGAAGAACAGGCGATTGCAGGCATGCAGACACGTGGAGAGAGAAGAACGAAAGGTTGTATTTTGGGTCGAGTCAGCGTACGGCAGGCGAGAAGAGGGGCAGAGAAAGCGGGCCCAGCAAAAAGAGAAATTAGGGACGATGAAAGGTTTAAAGGGAGCGGCCAACACCCCAAGCCCAACACCCCAAGCCCAACACCCCAAGCCCAACACCCGGCAGAGCAGCACCCCACACAGCAGCACTCACCATACAACGGTTGTGGTCCACCCGAGCTGGGCTGCAATGGCCTGCACGCGGTTCACAAAGTAGGCAATAGACGCCTTCACTGTCCTCCTGTGCTCCTTCCGCCTGCACCCCCGGGCCAAAAGAGAAAGGAGAGAGCATATTGACAACTTTTGAGGCGCCTGAAATGTCTGCAATGGCCTGCACGCGGCTCACAAAGTAGGCAATCGATGCCTTGACTGTCCTCCTGTGCTCCTTCCTCCTGCACTCTCAGGCAATCAGAGAAGGGCGAGACGGGAATAGTAAAATGAGTGGAGAGAGGAGAAGAGAGGAGAGACGAGTTTGCTGATATGAAGAGAACCATTTTGCTGCTCATCATCCTTCTCCTCGTTTCTTCTATCCTTGAAAGAGCGAGAAACGCAGGAAAATGGGGCAGGGTTATGCGGCGGACTCACCACTTGTAGATGTGCGGAACAGAGGTCCAACACCCTTCGTGATGACAACGGGAGAGAGAAAGAGCAAGGACCGAACGAGAGCAAGAGGGAAAGAGGATGGGCATTTGGAGAGAGCATAGGCGGGAGCATGGGGAAGAGCAATTGTGGCAGGTGGAGGGCATGTCTTACCGTGCACTTATCACAGAGTATTCACGCGCTTATCACACAAACTACAGCACGCTTGCCACACGCAATCGCCACACGCGTGTCACACACCGCGCTTGAAGCACAATAATTACACACATATGGTCTGCATGATGATTACAAAAACGAAATCTCAATCACGATTGCTTCTTTCACACCCTCGCCTGCTCCTCCCTGTCTTCCCTGTGTCGAGGGGCGGCAGCGCGCCGCTCCTCACTCCTCCTCGTTACAATCACACTCATTGGATTCACGTCCTCTCACCTGCATTCACTTCGTCCCCTCCAATGTGGATTGTCCGCCCTGGGAAGACTGATCGGAGGTCTGCATTGCACCCCCATTGCACCCCATTGCACCCCATTGCACCCCATTGCACCCCGATTGCACACACAATTACAGGTCATATGAGGGATGAGGGATGAGGGATGAGGGATGAGGGATGAGGCACCAGCTGATGCATTGGCTAAGCAAAGGAAAGTTCAGGTTGCACCACACCACCTTCCGGCCAGCAGTCAGGTCCGCACCACACAGAACCTGCCAGCACCGCACATCACCTGTGAGCACCCCCTGTATGACTCGGAAGGTGAACTCATTTGAGACGTCGAGAGGCTCGGTGCATTTGACGGCCGGGAGCAGGGCCGGATAGCCCACTCCCCTGCAGGGCACCCAAGGGCGGCGTGGCACAAGAGGGGAATATGAGGTGAAACGCAGGGGAACCGGATAGCGTGTGATAAGTCGAGTTTTGAGTCGACTCAGAAGTGGAATATGAGGTGAAATGTAGTAGAGGTGGGAGCAGGACCGGATAGCCAACTACCCTGTGGATACCCCAAGAACAAGGCCCCGAGGCCTACGGAAATTGTGGCCACAATGGAAAGGGCAGCCAAAAACAGGGAAGACGACATGGGTAGGCATATTTGTATTGATTCCGTAAGAATACTTCAAAAAACAGCCACGGCATTATGCTAAATGATTTTGTAAGGGTACTTCAAAATGCCAAGGGGTAGTGAAGTCTCTCTGTGCCGTGGATTGGCATGCTGCTGAGCTGCGCTGCTCACCATGCCGTGGAGTGTGATGGCAGGTCGATCTCAGGAATGACAACGATGCCGCGCGCTGCTGCGTAGCTGGTGGAGAGGGTTGGAAAGGAGTGGAGACAGGGACAGAGGGGACAATAAATTGGAAAAAAAGCACAAAGCATGGGCGAGCTGTTCAAATGGAGTGTAAAAAAAACGGAAGTTGCAGAGGAGGGAGAAGGCAAGAGATACCGGGCGCGCATAAACCCTATGCCATGCCAGATTTTGAGGCGCGTCAGCAACATGCCCCATGCCTCTCATGCGTACCACATGCCATGCGTACCACATGCCATGCGTACCACATGGCCCATCACATCACTCAACTCACCCCACCACGTGCCGCATGTCTGCAAGTGAGTAAGTAGCGCTCGTGGGGGGAGTGGGCACCCTTCCAGACTCTGCTTCTGACACACCTCAATCGAACAACATGCCCCATGCCTCCCGTCTCACCGCACCACGTGTCCCATGCCTTGCACTCAACAAACTCACCCCATCACCACGTGCCGCATGTCAGCGAGTGAGTAGCGCTCATGGGGGGAGTGGGCTCCCTTCCATAGGCGAGAGGGAAGGAGGGCGTCTCAATTGGGAAGGCATTTCAAAGCAGACCCTGTTCTGAACCTCCTGGATTCAACAACATGCCGCATGCCAGTGCTCACCGCACCACGTGCCGCATGTGGGCAAGTGAGTAGCACTCGCGTGGGGAGAAAGGGCAGCCTTCCAGATGCCACATGCCAGTGCTCACCCCATCACACTCAACTCACCCCACAACATGCCCCATGTCAGCAAGCGAGTAGCGCTCGTGGGGCGAGTGGGCGCCCTTCCAGAGGCGCGGGAAGGAGGGCGTTTCGATGGGGAGGGCCTCTGAGTCCACAAGATGGGAGTGACTGGTGGGGAGATGATGGGAGATGATGGAATGAGAGGGAAGGGGAGATGATGGAATGAGAGGGAAGGAGGAGAGAGGGGAGGGGAGAGGATGGAATGAGAGGGAAGGAGGAGAGAGGGGAGGGGAGAGGATGGAATGAGAGGTGGTGAAAGGAGGGCGTCTCGATGGGGAAGGCCTCTGAGTCCACTAGATGCCAGTGGCTGGTGGGGAGGAGAATGGGGGGATGGGGAAGAAGGGGAGTGAGAAGGGGGATATGTGGGGGGTAGTAAAGGGAGGGCGTCTGGATGGGGAAGGCATGTGCGTCCACCAGGTGACAATGACTGGGGGGAGAGGGGGGAGAGGGGGGGAGGTGAAGAAGGGAGAGGGGAGGGAGGAATGGAGGCGACAGGGAGCATGACTGATAGGAGGGACTGATAGGTGGGACTGATAGGAGGGACTGACAGGTGGGACTGATAGGAGGAACTGATAGGAGGGACTGATAGGAGGGACTGATAGGAGGGACTGATAGGTGGGACTGATAGGTGGGACTGATAGGTGGGTGGGACTGATAGGTGGGACTGATAGGAGGGACTGATTGGTGGGACTGATAGGTGGGACTGATAGGTGGGACTGATAGGTGGGACTGATAGGAGGGACTGATAGGTGGGACTGATAGGAGGGACTGATAGGTGGGGCTGATAGGTGGGGCTGATAGGTGGGGCTGATAGGAGGGGCTGATAGGTGGGACTGATAGGTGGGACTGATAGGTGGGAATGATAGGTGGGACTGATAGGAGGGACTGATAGGTGGGACTGATAGGAGGGACTGATAGGTGGGACTGATAGGAGGGACTGATAGGAGGGACTGATAGGAGGGACTGATAGGTGGGACTGATAGGTGGGACTGATAGGTGGGGCTGATAGGTGGGACTGATAGGTGGGACTGATAGGTGGGTGGGACTGATAGGTGGGACTGATAGGAGGGACTGATTGGTGGGACTGATAGGTGGGACTGATAGGTGGGACTGATAGGAGGGACTGATAGGAGGGACTGATAGGTGGGACTGATAGGTGGGACTGATAGGTGGGACTGATAGGTGGGACTGATAGGTGGGACTGATAGGTGGGACTGATAGGAGGGACTGATAGGTGGGGCTGATAGGTGGGGCTGATAGGTGGGGCTGATAGGAGGGGCTGATAGGTGGGACTGATAGGTGGGACTGATAGGTGGGAATGATAGGTGGGACTGATAGGAGGGACTGATAGGTGGGACTGATAGGAGGGACTGATAGGTGGGACTGATAGGAGGGACTGATAGGAGGGACTGATAGGAGGGACTGATAGGTGGGACTGATAGGTGGGACTGATAGGTGGGACTGCTAGGTGGGACTGATAGGAGGGACTGATAGGTGGGACTGATAGGAGGGACTGATAGGTGGGACTGATAGGTGGGACTGATAGGTGGGACTGATAGGTGGGACTGATAGGTGGGACTGATAGGAGGGACTGATAGGTGGGACTGATAGGAGGGACTGATAGGTGGGACTGATAGGAGGGACTGATAGGTGGGACTGATAGGTGGGACTGATAGGAGGGACTGATAGGAGGGACTGATAGGTGGGACTGATAGGTGGGACTGATAGGTGGGACTGATAGGAGGGACTGATAGGTGGGACTGATAGGTGGGACTGATAGGTGGGGCTGATAGGTGGGACTGATAGGTGGGACTGATAGGTGGGGCTGATAGGTGGGACTGATAGGAGGGACTGATAGGAGGGACTGATAGGTGGGACTGATAGGTGGGACTGATAGGTGGGACTGATAGGTGGGACTGATAGGAGGGACTGATAGGTGGGACTGATAGGTGGGACTGATAGGTGGGACTGATAGGTGGGACTGATAGGTGGGACTGATAGGTGGGACTGATAGGTGGGACTGATAGGTGGGACTGATAGGAGGGACTGATAGGTGGGACTGATAGGTGGGACTGATAGGTGGGAATGATAGGTGGGACTGATAGGTGGGACTGATAGGTGGGGCTGATAGGTGGGACTGATAGGTGGGACTGATAGGTGGGTGGGACTGATAGGTGGGACTGATAGGAGGGACTGATAGGTGGGACTGATAGGTGGGACTGATAGGTGGGACTGATAGGTGGGACTGATGGGAGGGACTGATAGGAGGGACTGATAGGTGGGACTGATAGGTGGGACTGATAGGTGGGAGTGATAGGTGGGACTGATAGGAGGGACTGATAGGTGGGACTGATAGGAGGGACTGATAGGAGGGACTGATAGGAGGGACTGATAGGTGGGACTGATAGGTGGGACTGATAGGTGGGACTGATAGGTGGGACTGATAGGAGGGACTGATAGGTGGGACTGATAGGAGGGACTGATAGGTGGGACTGATAGGAGGGACTGATAGGTGGGACTGATAGGTGGGACTGATAGGAGGGACTGATAGGAGGGACTGATAGGTGGGACTGATAGGTGGGACTGATAGGTGGGACTGATAGGAGGGACTGATTGTTAGATTATACTACTCTTCTGTATCCTGCATTGATCCTATAAACCCTAGGATAGAGATGGGCACCCAAACTATGTTTGGGTGCACAACTAGGGTTAACCCTAGTTGGGGGTTGGAACCCAACCTTGGCCCAATTATTGGACCCCAAGGTTGGGTTGGAGGATGGTTGGCCCCCCCCAATAATGTTGGCCCACATTGACCAACATTATTGGGACCCCCAATAATTCTCCAACTCAACTTATTGGTGGGGGGCCAATAATGTTGGCTAGGTACCAACCACCCCTCCCCTTCCTTAGCTCCAACTATGTAAGCCCTCATCATTTCTAATGAACTCAACGGTTCAATTCTAACACTGATAGGTGGGACTGATAGGTGGGACTGATAGGAGGGACTGATAGGAGGGACTGATAGGTGGGACTGATAGGTGGGACTGATAGGTGGGACTGATAGGTGGGACTGATAGGTGGGACTGATAGGAGGGACTGATAGGTGGGACTGATAGGTGGGACTGATAGGTGGGACTGATAGGTGGGACTGATAGGTGGGACTGATAGGTGGGACTGATAGGTGGGACTGATAGGTGGGACTGATAGGTGGGACTGATAGGAGGGACTGATAGGTGGGACTGATAGGTGGGACTGATAGGTGGGACTGATAGGTGGGACTGATAGGTGGGACTGATAGGAGGGACTGATAGGTGGGACTGATAGGTGGGACTGATAGGTGGGACTGATAGGAGGGACTGATAGGTGGGACTGATAGGTGGGACTAATAGGTTGGACTGATAGGAGGGACTGATAGGAGGGACTGATAGGTGGGACTGATAGGTGGGACTGATAGGTGGGACTGATAGGTGGGACTGATAGGTGGGACTGATAGGAGGGACTGATAGGAGGGACTGATAGGTGGGAGGTGGGACTGATAGGTGGGAATGATAGGTGGGACTGATAGGAGGGACTGATAGGTCGCGCACTTGGACCAAGGCGGAGGGGAGATGAGGTCGGAGGGGAGAGGAGGTCGGAAGGGAAATGGACGAGAGTGCGGGAGTTTTTGCAAGGTGAGCCAAATGCATGCATGTGTGTGTGCATGTTCGTGCATCTGTATGCATGTGCATGGGTGCATACACATGGATATTGTGTACACTTACAGCACATTAAGCTTGGCATACGACATGGAGTCCAGGAGTCGCTCTATAAAGGGGACGGGGTGGAAGTGCCTTGCCGTGTCTGCAGCAAGGCAGAGAGAAGAGGGGGAAGTGGAATAGAGATGGGTGAGTGAGAGTTGACTTTTGAGGCGACTCAAGAATCACCTAGCCGTGTGTGCAGCAAGGCACAGGCAATGGAGAAAGGCACAGGCAATGGAGAAAGGCACAGGCAATGGAGAAAGGCACAGGCAATGGAGAAAGGCACAGGCAATGGAGAAAGGTGGAATTAAGGGGAGTGAGAAAGGGAGGTGAGAGAAGGGGTTGAGTGAGGGGGGTGAGTGAGGGGAGTGAGTGAAGGGGGTGAGTGAGGGGAGTGAGTGAGGGGGGTGAGTGAAGGAGGCATGAAGTCCAGATTGACTTGCCTAGAGTGCAAGGATGTTCAAGAAGTACGTACACACCACACACCCTTACTGCTCACCCAAATACACCGCTCCCTCACCCAGCACCACCGCTCTCTCACCCAGCACCACCGCTCTCTCACCCAGCACCACCGCTCTCTCACCCAGCAGCAACCCTCGGTGGGGGAAGCGGGGGCGGTCGTGGATGGTGAGAGGCACGCCCTGCAGCAGAGCCAGGCGGGAGGCAGGGTGCCAGCGAACCAGTTGACTCAACGTCTGGCAGTGGGGGAAGGGTTGGGGGTACGGGGGGTGGTGAATGGGGGAGGTGGGGCACGGGCGGTCGTGAATGGTGAGAGGCACGCCTTGCAGCAGGGCAAGGCGGGAAGAGGGGTCCACGCGGTCCAGCCGACTCAACGTCTGCCATTGGGGAGGGAACAGGTGGATAGGTGGGGGAACCGGGGGATATCGGGCGGACGGGGGGGACGGGGGAATCAAAGGAGAGTTAGCTGGGGGGATGGATGGGGATGGAGGGGTAGTTAAAAGCGAAGGGATGAGGGTGAGGGGGAATTCGGGCCAGGGAAGCGGGTGGAGAGTGGGGAATCGAGGGGTGGGGACTGGGGTTTGGGGAAGCGGATTCGGGGGATGATGCGAAGAGGAGAGAGAAGCCAGATAGGTGAGGAGTGAAAGAGAAGGCAGAGTAGCTGCTGCTACCGTTTTGAGTAGGGCGCCGCAATGTGGGCAAGGAGGGGTGGATGGAACAAGGGGCAAAAAGCGACGGACGTACCTCCAGTGCTCTTAGTGCTCCCACTGTTGTGTTGGGCTGGCGGAGCCAGGGAAGGAGACGGAGGAGTGGACGAGGAGGAGGATGAGGAGAAGAGGAAGGGGGGGGGGGAAAGAGGAAGTCGGGGGAGGCGGGAGAGGGCAGAGGCAAAGAGCAAGGGACGTACCTCCAGTGCTCTGAGTGCTCCCACTGTTGTGTTAGCCTGGAGAGGAGCAAGGGGGGAGGGGTGGACGAAGGGAGGAGGAGGAGGGAGAAGTGCGAGGGGTGCACGCGAGGGGTGCATGCGAGGGGTGCATGCTGACAAGTTGCTTTCAAAGGAATCTCTTTCAGCACAAGCCCAGCCAACATGGAAAAAACACACCATCTGTGCACTGCAACACACCCCCCTGCACCGCAACCCACCCCCCTGCACCGCAACCCACCCCCCTGCTCCGCGCCCAGCTCCCCTGCACAACCACCAGCACCGCTCACATGGATTCTGATCACTGCTGACGACGAATGACCAGGTGCAGCACCCCCCACAGTGAGCACGTAGCTCTCGTCTGCCCCCACCTCCAGCTGTGAGGGGGATGGGGGGAAGGGGAGGGGTGGGGGGTGTGGTGGGTGGGTGGCGCTGTCGAGTGCTGGCGACGGATGGTCAGGTGCAGGAGGAAAGGGGATCGGGTTGTTGGGTGTGGGGGGGCTGTCGATCACTGCTGGCGACTGGGAGGGTGCAGCACCCCCCACGGTGAGCATGTAGCTCTTGTCTGCCCCCACCTCCTGCTGCCAGGGGATGGGGGAAGGACAACAGCGGGGATGGGGAAGCGATAGGGCGGGGGAGGAGGAAAAGGGTGGTTGAGAGAGTGGGAAGGAGAGTGGTTGGGAACGTTGAGGTGGGATGGGTGTGGGGGCGACTCTCTGGTGAAGGAAAGAGAAGGCCGCAGAGGCCGCAGAGGTTACTGGTGCGCTGTTGTTCATTTGCTTGAGCCTACTACATGCGTGCAGCTCACTGAGAAATGTCAGATCAGGTGTGGGGGCGACTTTCTGGTGAAGGAAAGAGAAGGCCTTAAGCTTAGATGCCTGTTGATGGGTATGCAGCGCAGAGAACGCATCTCAATGTCACCGCTCTCCACCCCTGAGTACCTCTTCCTCATTTCGGGCCACAGAAATGTGTAGAGAGTCCAAAAGGAGCACTGCCCTCGCTGATTCGCTCCCTCTGCTCCCCTGCCCCATCCTGCCCCCACTGCCGCTGCCCCCACTGCCGCTGAAGCTGCTCTCCTTCCCATGTCCCCGCAACGGCCTCTCCTCCCAGCCAGTGAACAGCTGCCACGTGGCCAGCACCACCTGCCTCAGCCACCACGAGACAGGGCCATGGCCCAGCCGTCCAACCAGCTTGCGACACCTGGCGAGCAATGATTGCCCTTGCCCTCCCTTTCCACCTTCCCCTCCACCTCCCACTCCCATAGCCCCTGCCCCTCCCCTTCCCCTTCCCCCTCCTCCTCCGCCCCCTACCCCGCCCCCTCCCCCCCCCGCTCCCCCGGCCCCTCCCCCTCCCCCGTGTGCGGTCTCGAGGGCGGGCAGGGAGCGGTGGGGGGCGAGGAAGGAGGAGAGGAAGCGGTGGAAGGCAGCACACAGAACCGCACGACCTGCTGCCTGCTGTGATGAACGCCTCGCTTCCTGCCCTGCTGCCGGCCCTGCTGCTTCCCTTGATGCCTCCTGTGACGCCTTCTGTGCTGCATCTCGCTTCCACACACGTGACGAGCCATCATATGACTTTTGAGGCGCCTCAAAAGCCCGCCCTGCTGCTTCCCTTGATGCCTCCCTTGACGCCTTCTGTGCTGCATCTTGCTGCCGCACACGTGACGAGCCAGCATAATCACTGCCCCACTCACCGCCCTCCTCGTTGCTCCACTCACAGCCACCCTCCTCTTCCTCCTCCTCGCCCGTCCCTGCCCCCCTCCCCCCCAACAACAGGGAGAGCTGCAGCAGGGGGCTGATGGCGGCCTCTTGACGCCCCACTGCTGCTATCAGTGCCGGCATGGGCCACACCAGTAAACCCACTCGCCGCTTCAACTCCTCCACACTCACCTCCTCTCCTCTCACCTCCTCTCCTCTCACCTCCTCTGCTCTCTTGCTTATTCCCTCTCCCCCTCTCGCTCCCTCTTCCCTGCCCACTCCCTCTCTTTCCTCACTCCCTCCCTCACTCATTCCTGTATTCACTCCCTCGCCCAGTCCCTCACTCATTCCCTCACTCGCACCCACTGTTCTTCCTCTTCTTTGATCAATCCTTTCTCCCCTTCCATCCTCCCCATCCCCTTCGCCCCCACCACCCGCCTCCCCACTTCCCTCCTCGCCCACATCCAAACCCCTCAACAGCCGTCCCATTCTGCCTCTTTCACCGTCTCTATCCATCTCCTTCTCCTTCTCCCCCTCCCCTTCCTTCTCCCCCTTCATTCCCCTCCTTCCTTCCCCTGACTCTTCCCTCCTCCCACCCTGCGCCGCCCCTCTCCACTCCTTGCCACCGAACCTCTTCTGCCTCCCCAACGCACCCATATCTGACCCAACCCATCTAGGTCGCACCTTCATGTGCTGTCCTCTGCCCCTGCTGGCATCGGGTATAACCACCTCTCCTCCTGCTGTCTCCTCACCCCTCCCTCCCCTCTTCACTTCCTCACCCCCCTCTCCACTCGTTCTCACCCCTTCCCTCCCTCCGCTCTTCTCCCCTTGACCATCCCCATCCCCATCCCCATCCTCGTTACTGGCTGCATCGTTAGCATCCACAAGCCCATCGCGCAACACTGTACCACCAGCATAAATATCCACGCTCGCACCAGGGGCAGCAGCAGCACCAAACTGTTCGTTATTAAGAGGTCCTGTATAAATACGCTCTTGCTCCACATCCTCCTCTTCCTTCCCCCTCTCCCCCACCCCTTTTTCCCTCTCATTTCCGCTCTCCCTCTCCTCCCCCCTCGTCCTCTCCTCCCCCCTCGACCCCTCCTCGCCCGACGCACTCTCACCCCGCATCGCCACCAGCAGCGGCGCCAGCGCCACACGAGCATCATCAATGTCCCTCTCGCGCGCCTCCTCCCGCTCCGCCTCCTCCTCCCACTTCTCCCGCTGCATCACCATCACTGCCCAGTTCGGAAGCCCATGCGACCCTCCCGGTAGCCCTTTTACAGGCGCCTTAGACACAGGCACATCTGCAGCTGCAGCATCCCCCGTTTCAGTCACCTCAGGTAGGGGCACATCTAATGCACCTTGTGCTGCTTCTTTAACGGAGTCGCCTGCAGCAGCACCAGGCGCTGGTGCCGGCTGACTCGGTTGACTCGGTTGACTCCCCTCTCCTGCCCCCCCATCTCCCCCATCTCCCCCATCTCCCTCCTCACCCTCCTCACCGTCCTCATCCCCCTCACCCTCCTCGTCCTCCCCTAGTCCCTCCTTCTCCTCCTCGCCCCGCTCTTCATCGCTATTGTAATCGTCACCCCCCCCCTCCTCTCCCTCCTCCTCTTCTCCCCCCTCCTCTTCTCCATCATCTTCTTCTCCCTCCTCCTCTTCTCTCTCCTCTTCTCCCTCCTCCTCTTTTCCCTCCTCCCTTTCTCCGAACTCCCCCTTTCCCACAGCCAGTCTCCCATCAGTATCTGAACTCCCTAGTACACTGTTACCTGCTGACTCATCCCTGTCACCTGCTGACTCGTTTTTGTCATCTGCTGACTCATATCTGTAATCTGCTGACTCATCATTCTGATCTGCTAACTCAGCCATTGCAGCTCCTGGTGCGAGCAGTAATGCGTCATCACTTCCCTCATTCTCACTCACTCCCTCATTCCCTCCCTCATCCCCTCCCTCACTCCCTCCCTCACTCCCTCCCTCATTCCCTCCAGTCGGCATATCCTGTAGTTTTCCCTCTCTCTCTTCCCGCACCCACTGCTCCTCCTCCATTCTCCACTCCTCCCCACTCTCTTCCGCTTCCCCCTTCTCCGCCCAACTCCACTCCCCCCGCGCCCACCACGGCCCATTCTCCGCCCGCTCCGCGGAAAGCGCATTGACGCGCGCTCGCCACTCCACATACAGCAGTTCTCGGCGAAGTTTCCGCCGCCCTTCGCGGCTGTTGCCTTCCCTCCATTCGCCCGGCACATAGCCGGGATTCACCTCATAACCAACGGATTTGCGCAGCCGTTTCGGAGATGTCTCCGCCTCCACCCATGGCGCTTGTTCCGCGTTGTTTCTGTAATCCCGCGTAATATGAGAAGAGGAGGAGCTCTGCTCGTTACTAGCGCGATACCGCAGGCGGATGTCAAGCGCGGAGTGCGGGGAGAAGCGCAGGAGCGCTACAAGTCCGAATAAAGCGGAGGAAAGGAGCAGCAGGCGGCGCGGAGTTGACGAGAATGCGGAAGCCGCTGCCCAAGGCCCGCGGAATCGGCGGGCGGCGGTACTCGCACCTCTGAGAGAGTTGTGGATGGGCATCGTTGTTATCAACACAAGCTATGGCTAGGATCATGCAATTAAGTAACCTCAATATAGAAACGTTATAATCATAGCGCGGTATGTCAGAATGGCCGAGCTCGTCTAAGGCGTCAGTTTCAGGTATTTGTCCGAAAGGCCATGGGTTTGAATCCCATATCTGACAGGTTTATTCCCGCGTTATTTTTAGTTCTGACACAACCCTTAAATTGTGTAACGTCATACATGTTTTGCGGGTAATCCACTTATGTCTATGAGCTTATATGTATAATTTAGCCTATCAGTATCATTCAGGTTTTGCGAAACGCTGGGTATCGAGTACGTGCGAGGCACAACTGGACCCAACACGTGGAGTTTGTACTGAATATCGACCACCCTGACTGCGACAATTGGAAGATTCGAGTATCCCAGCTTGTCGGAGCGATTTTCGAGCGCAGATATTTTTCCATGAAAATATCTCAGTCTGCCCAAAAGTCGCGATTCTCCGCGATGTATCCAGGCGAGAACGAACCAACAAGGCAACCTGCGCGAAAGTTTCTTGGCGAGGTGTCAACGAAAGGCTTTCGCCCGATATCACGTCGCGGAACCTCGTTTACACCAAACGATGACTGGTTACATGGAAATCATGAATGCACGAACTTCTCAACGCTCATGTGCGAAACCCAACAACAGAACCTTCAGGAAGATAAGGATCTGTTGCTGTCATGCCAATAACCAAGCAAATAGCCATGGGTGCTCCCGTCACCTCCCCGTTTTCTGACTGGAAACAAACTGTCTGGTTTGGAAGCACAAGTCCAGCGGTGACGGGAGTGCATCCGCTATGGCTTCCAGACCCGTCCCAAGTTGCCATGCCACGTCTTCCTCGTTGAGTGTCTTTTTGCAGTTTGACTGCCTTCTAGTTGCTTCCTTGAACCACCAGCTGCGCACCGAAGTGGTTCCTATTTGCTGTTCGTTCACGCATTTCTGGAGTAATCTAGCTCGGTAGTGCCTCTATTCGTGTCTGAGAGATATTTTTCCGGCAGCCATAAATATCAAGGGCCCAGCCTTGATACTGTACTCTTTCGTCTTTCGTTAACTTGAGAGCAAGTAGCCGTTTCCTGTCCTCTTTCATGAGCCTAGCGGCATTTGCGCCAACTCTATCATAGCAGCATCAAGCGCTGCCTAGTACGTTCTCCAGCGTCCCATCGCTCAATTCGTCGCTGCAGAACTCGCAGTCTTTCCAGCTCGTAACCTTAGGCTCTAAGCTAGGCAATATGGGTTGCGTTCGCACCATGAAGCTCAGGAAGCCCCACCGCTCTGAACCGTATGATGTTCAGACAGGCTCAAGTCCAGCTTTCCACCCAAGCTTCGACCAATCACCACCGTTCTTTTCCTCTAGCGATCCGGTTTTCGCCAACATTGACTGGGAAATTCTCGAGAACGACGGTTCTGGCTTATCCTGTCCGATGTGGATCGTGACGGATACCGTCGACGCCTATGACTTTTCCGTCGAGCACGTGCAAGTTTTGCTGGATCGGAATTCAAGCCAGGAATATGGCGAATTTCACGGCGATGCTGAGAGTGATGACAGATTCTACCAGCAGCAGAATGACAGAATACGTGGTTCGGCCAATCACGGGTCTGCTCTTCTCACCATCGTCTGCAAGTTTCATTCCTCTCCGACGCTTGCAGATGGAGACGTTTTCCGTCAGCGTCTGCTTCAGAAGCAGCAGTTCACGGTGACGAATTCCGTCCAGACGACTGGCCGGCGGTTCAAACTGCCAGCAGATGCCATCGCGGAGAGCACGACCGCCGTTCATACGGAGGCGGGATCGGTGGTGGTGAATGTCCCTCGTTCTCCGCAAAAGCGACCTTTCTCGTCGCCGTCGCGGTTTTCCTCCGCTCCTTGCGATCTCGCTGAAACGCAGCCGTTTGTGAGATTCGGTCGGTGGAGTGTGGACGTGGCGTCAACGGCTTCGTCCTTCTCGCCACCATCACCGTCAGCGTCGCAGTCACAGTCACAGTCACTAGCATCCTCTTCGTCCTTCTCCTCCTCCTCCTCCTCCTCCTCCTCCCCCTTCTCCCCTTCTTCGCCATCCCCATCACCATCCTTCTCATCTTCATCCATTTCTTCATCCTGGCCTTCCCTCATACCCTCCCAGCCTCCTTCATTTGCTCCTGATCTGGTCCCCGATATGAGGGTGGCAGGCAATGTAGCGTCTGTGAGTTGTTGTAGCAGAAAAACATATTTCGTTTGGCCATTCACACAGCAGCATCATGACCAGTGCTGTGATTCCTGTACAGATGGTTGGAATGGTTTTGCTGGTGAGCCAGCCGCTAACGCCATGCAGGTTTCTTAGGCGGGGTCAGGCATAGGGTCTCGCCTGGAGCTTGTCATGCTATTCTGCATGTTGCTGTATATGTCAATACCGATATTAGTTAAATTCGTTTGGTTAGTAGCATGCGCACATGGCTGGTTTGGGTGGGATGGATGATTACTTGCCTGCCAACCAATGCTTGGTATCAGATTGTAGATATTGGCAAATCAAGAATACAAGCATGCTTGTACATGCAGCTTCCCTGGCTTCCCCTGTGCCATTCACAGAGAAAGTAATTCCACTTAGCAACACCATTACTGCCCGCAATTTTATTTGGCCGCAGCATTCTCAATTGCTGCTATGCACACTTCTACAGGGGCTTCTCTTGCCATGGCTTCCATGAGTGCATCAAAGGACTTGGCATTGTTCTTGATTAGTGAAGCCGCATAGAGCACCTGGGGAATGATGGGAAGACAAAAGGCTAAAAATGTCGAACACACACAGCAAGCGCTTGCACATACGGTATGCGCTTATCGGGCTACACAACTGAGCAAGTCTGGACTCTCCATCGAAATTATAATGCAAGAAAGCACGCTTCTGCTGTCTCACGTTTTTCACAGCACCAAGCCCTTGCTACTGTGCCAGAAGGGTGTATGAACATGGTAACAGAAACGATACATCATCAAGGCCTGACTCACCGCCCAGCGAGTGAGGTTCTGCTGTCTCTCAGGAGTCATGGCGCCCAGCCCGCTGCGGTTGATGAGGCGCTGCAGTGAGTTGAGGTCTGCCGTCTGCCCCATCACCTGCTCATATTGTAGCCCCTCCGCTGCCATGCCTGCCATCGCCACCACCGCGAGTCTGCAGGGGAGGAAGGGGGGTGATACAGGGTGTAGCGTGGGCCAGAGAGGGGCAGGAGAGGAAAAAGGAGGTCCGCCAGCTGCCCCATCACCTGCTCATACTGCAGCCCCTCCGCTGCCATGCCTGCCATCGCCATCAACGCCAGCCTGCAGTTGAAAGACGGAGGTTTGACGGTCCAGAGATGGGTGGGAGAGGAGACTTGATGCCCGGATCCCCCCTGACCATGCTCTGTTGCACTGCGGCCCCTTTGCTGCCACTGCCCGCCACTGCCAGCACCGCCAGCCCGTAGGGGAGGGGAGGTGTGTAGTGGGCCATATGGGGGGCCAGGAACAGAGATACATCATCCTCCATTCCTCCCAATCGTCCTCTCTCGTATTGCAGCCCCTCTGCTAGCAAGTTCCCATTTCGAATCAGACTAACAGTAGTGCCTTCATGAGGAATATTTCACCTGTCCACATCGTCACTCTCCAGCTTGCCGCTTTACATCTTCTTCTGCAGTGTACGTTTGTAAGCTAGAAGTCCCCACTTTAGATGAGTCTACCAGGAGTAGTGACATGAAAAAAAATCTCACCTGTCCACGTCATCACCCTCCAGCTTGCCGCTGTAGATCTTCTTCTGCAGCTTATCGTCCAGCAGATTCGTGTGCTCCTTGCCGATGTCCAATGAGTACGCGACAGGTGGCAGGCCCAGGAGATACGCCACTGCAGCAGGACAGAGGAGGCGAGGGGAGAAGGGGGACAATGTGAAAATCGGTTGGAGGACGAGGGGAAGGGGAGGGAGGAAGATGGCTGGGTCAGGGTTTCAGAGTAGTGGGTGGGTGCAGAGCAGAATACGGGGCTAGGGAGCAAGGGAAAAAAATGTTATTCTTTGCGTGGCTAATTGTGAATGGAAATGAGGGGAGCGCAGAGGGAAGGAGAGGGACTGACAGAGGAAGTGGCCTGCTTCGTGCCGGAGCACTCGGTCCTTGTAGTCTGAGAATACAGGTGCCATGGCTCCTATTCCGCCCTGGAGAAGCCTGTAACGAGGATGGGGAGAGAGAGAGGAGAATCAAAGTTGACGGCATTACAGCGTGCACATTGTTATTGAAATGCTTGGACTCAAAAGCGTGTTGTATTATCTGTTTTTGCCTTCATGTGCGCCCCGAGTCACACGCCCGCATTTCGTGATCTCTCCCAGGTGCTCTGCCTTGGTTCATATTACTAGGAGAAATGATATGGCTCAACCCACAAGACGGTTTGTTACCACGCTCGTGTCAAGTGTGAAACACTAGGCGTGCTTGAGTGCTTGTGAATGAAAGAGAGTGGGTGCGCACAGGGTTAGAGCGTGGGAGAGGAGGGCATACCCTGGAGCAACGCTGCCGACAGCGAGAACAACAATGGAGAGGCCGCCCACCAGATACGGCACAAAGAAACCCCAGTCCTGCGAGGGCACGTGGGAGGGGGAACGCAGACAGATGGGTTTCTGAGGCGTCACAGAAGGACGAGCTTTGAGACCTTTCAGAGGGCAACAATGGAGAGGCCGCCCACCAGATGCAACACGAAGAAACCCCAGTCCTGCGAGGGCACGTGGGAGGGGAGGTAAGCGGTGAGATGGTGCGGGTGGAAGGCAGGAGGTGTGGAAGGCAGGAGGTGTGGAAGGCAGGAGGTGTGGAAGGCAGGAGGTGTGGAAGGCAGGAGGTGTGGAAGGCAGGAGGTGTGGAAGGCAGGAGGTGTGGAAGGCAGGAGGTGTGGAAGGCAGGAGGTGTGGAAGGCAGGAGGTGTGGAAGGCAGGAGGGGTGGAAGGCAGGAGGTGTGGAAGGCAGGAGGTGTGGAAGGCAGGAGGTGTGGAAGGCAGGAGGTGTGGAAGGCAGGAGGTGTGGAAGGCAGGAGGTGTGGAAGGCAGGAGGTGTGGAAGGCAGGAGGTGTGGAAGGCAGGAGGTGTGGAAGGCAGGAGGTGTGGAAGGCAGGAGGTGTGGAAGGCAGGAGGTGTGGAAGGCAGGAGGTGTGGAAGGCAGGAGGTGTGGAAGGCAGGAGGTGTGGAAGGCAGGAGGTGTGGAAGGCAGGAGGTGTGGAAGGCAGGAGGTGTGGAAGGCAGGAGGTGTGGAAGGCCGGAGGTGTGGAAGGCAGGAGGGGTGGAAGGCAGGAGGTGTGGAAGGCAGGAGGTGTGGAAGGCAGGAGGTGTGGAAGGCAGGAGGTGTGGAAGGCAGGAGGGGTGGAAGGCAGGAGGTGTGGAAGGCAGGAGGTGTGGAAGGCAGGAGGTGTGGAAGGCAGGAGGTGTGGAAGGCAGGAGGTGTGGAAGGCAGGAGGTGTGGAAGGCAGGAGGTGTGGAAGGCAGGAGGTGTGGAAGGCAGGAGGTGTGGAAGGCAGGAGGTGGGTGGCCGGCAGGAGGGGGGTGGCCGGCAGGCAGCGGGTGGACGGCAGGTGGGGCACAGTGCGACGCGTAGGGGGAACACAGGAGGAATGCGCAGGAGTCCAACTGCAGGAAACCTCATACCCTGCTCACCCAGACTCACCCCTGTTTACCCCTAGCCACACCTGCTTACCCGTGCTCACCCCTGGTCACCCCTGACCACCAGTGCTCACCCCTGGTAGTTGGCTGCCGGCGAGGGCGAGAATGGAAGTGGTGCCGACCACGGTGGCGAGGAAGAGCGCCTGGTTGGTGGGAGGACACGGTAGGTTGTCGGCGCAGGGCGTTGGGACGAGAAGATTGGGAAACGGGGATTGGAAGAGGGTATTTGGACGAGGGGATTGGGACGAAGGGATTGGGAGGACGGGGATACGGGCGGCAGGAAAGAGGAGGAAGGAGGGAAGCAGAAAGTGGGAGACAGCAAGGTCGAGTGTGGCGTGAGCCGAGAGAGAGTGGCTGGGTGCGGAAGATGGGAGAAAGACAGGGATGGGTCAGGCAACAACGTGAAGAGGAGAATGGGTAGTGGAGATGGAAGACCAGGGAGGATGGAATGGAAGAAGAGGGGTGCGCGCTGCACCACTCTCTTTGTTACACGCAGCATCACTAACATCGTTGCGGACAGACGGCACGGCGAGCTTCTCAGCGTTCTTGATGCCCACTTGCGTCAGCTCACGCACACTCGCCTGCACGCAACGGAGGAACGCATGCATCCACAAATTACTCATCTCGTCTAGGCGAGGTCGTCCCCTTCGCAACCAGAAGGACAGTGAACTCAGAGCGAAGAATGAGAGCATGGCACAGCACGCATCGAGTCTTTCTCCATGTGATTCACGCTGAAGTGCATGTCTTTTCGTTTGAAACCCACCGACGATTCAGTTGTTCCCCCAATGCTCACTTCCACTCACCGTTCGTCTCGCGACGTTAGGGTAGCTGCCCCAGGCCGTGACGGAGCCGGCTTCCTTCAAGCACTCTAGAGCCACCTTCAATGCCTCCGAGTCGCGCTGTGAATCCACAGGAACCGTGGAGGAGGGTGGAATCAGGGAAAAGGTCAAAATGGAATGGGAAAGTGCTTCTTGAGTCGTGTCGTGGTTCGAGTGTGACATGACGTCGAGCGAGAGAAGTCGAGCGAGAGTATTTGAAAAGAACCAACCTTGTCCAGTGCTGGCTTCAACGTGATTGGAATCAGTCCGGCCGTTGATGATGCAGCAGAAGCTCCTGATGAGGAGGCAACGGACGGCTCGGATGAACTCGAGGCCCTCGTTACACGCACAACCCGGTGTGGTACCGTACTGCCTTGGCTGCTCGACAGAAAATTAACATTTGAAGGAACGGTCCAGCAGTTACGTTTCGAGCTGTCGATTAAATTAGACGACGCATTAAAGCCGGAGGTGATAGCCCGCGAGGACCCCGAGGCAACGAGCGAGGCCATGGCACCAACGATTTCAGGCACCTAACAAGTTAAGGACTGCTTTGTTCTAAAAAACAAGGCAGGGGAACAAATTTGCAACCAGATAATTGAAACAGATGCCTGAAATTGTAAGGCTGTGTAAGCCTGGCACTGGAAGGGTGTGAAAACCTGAAGCTAAGGCGAAGTTTGAAACTGGAAGCTTGAAACTGGAAGGCTGAAACTGCAAGCTTGAATTTGAAGACAACTATATTTCAGAATCCGCGATTCCACGCAACTCCAATTTTTCATGCCTAAAGACATATGTCGAGGTCATCAACGTTCCACGACATTCCCAGGACCTGGTCAGGTTTGGTGAAGGTTGCTTCGGATGCCCTGGGCCGCATATGCCAGATGGCAGCCAAGGAGCCCTCCAACAAGGCTATATCCTTACGTGGAGCATAATGACCAACGAGCCCTCCAACAAGGTTATTTGTAAAATTGCATGTAACAGCTGTCCGTGCGGGGATAGCTCAGTTGGGAGAGCGTCAGACTGAAGATCTGAAGGTCGCGTGTTCGATCCACGCTCACCGCATAGTTTTGCGCTATTCCAGGGACTCCACCCTGGCCAAGACTCAATTCTGGTAGCTTTTAAGTTTTAAGTTTTTATTAAGGTCGTAACCCAGACAACACAGAGGCTAAACAAGGTAGTAAACCAGCGCCACAGGCCTACGCTAAATACATCGTTTCTTTAGCCAGACTAAGTCCGCAGGTAGGAAAGCTCTTGCCCGCTCTGTGTTGTAGAAAAGTGGAGGTGGCCAGGTTACGGGGGCTGGAAGGCGGTGTTGAGGAGCCAGGACGCACAGAGTTCCGGGTGTATTTGGGGGGATCCGTCGGGTAAAAATTGAAGAAGCTTGTGGTCGTTGGCAGCTTTGACTCGGTTGGCGGTGGTGCGTTTTCGTTTCTCGGACATTTTACTTCGGCGATGAAAGTACACTCTGCAGGCCGAGAGAAATAGGGCCAAGATGCGATGAAGCGTTTCTGCAGCGGAGTGAGAGGTATTATCGTATGTTTGAGAGCAGCGTTCACGCCATAGGGTTGTCGCTGCTGCTCCGACGAGTAGGCACCACGGCGCGATGTGACCCGGAGGTATGGCAGGGGGGAAGTAAACGGCTTCAGACGGAAGCGTAAGGCAGAGGTGTTTACTGGCGGAGCGTTGTAAGGACGAGATGACGGCTGGAGCATTGCCGCACTCAAAGAAAATGTGAGTATGTGATTCAATGGCGTTAGTATGGCAGCGGGGGCAGATACCCTTGGATCGAGTGAAGGGCATTCGAGCGCCGCAGGGAAGTGAACGGGTAAAAAGGCGGTACAGAATGTCTTTTTGACGGCTAGTCTGGTCTGTGAGGAAGGGGTGGGAGAAGTCGGGAGGGAGCGGATTGGAGTCTGTAGCTGGGCGTTCCATCGTTCGATATGGGTGAGTGGTTGTCGGGTGTAGAGAAATTTCTGGATGTCAGCTAGCGAGGGCCGTTGTCGAATAAGCTCGTGTCGAACCCCTAGCGCAGCTCCTGAGCAGAAAGGACCCGCCAGCCAGCTCCCGATGACGCACACTGTGATCACCTCCGTAACAGCTAATGTCGTGCTGCTGAAGGGTACCTTAGCCACCCGTCGCTCGTGCGTCACCTCGTAACAGTCGAATATCACATTAGTGTTGTCTAGGAACCGAACGGCTCGTAGGACCTGAGATTTTGCCGTTGGTGAGGATGCCTCGAAGGCCCAATCCCCCCGGCGAAGGTAGCCAGGTTGGGGGGTGAAAACTTTTAGCACTGGCCACCAATCATCTGGAACAGCTTTGTAGATTAGCTGGAGAATTCGTAGCCCTCCGGGGAACACTTTGGGGGGGTATTTAGTGCGAAACTCCTTGGCTGTCATTTGGCGGGAGCCTCCGGTGACTGGAATGAGTAGATTGCCCAGTCGTAGCTGTTTGTCGAGCAGGAATGCTTCCTCTTTCCTCCTGCCGAACGGAAGCTTGTCGGGCCTACGAATGAAGCGGTTGAACGCGACCGGTTCGGCCATTAATACCCAAGGCTCTAGTCGGGGTGAGGAGACTTTGGCCGTGGTTTCCAGCAAGCTACGAAGTTCCGCTAGTGCTCTGGGTGGGGTGGAGCTAGGCAGGTGTTTGAGGATGTCGGGATGTGCTAAAAAGCAATGTAATCCGTAGGGCAGAGAGGCACAGGCCCGAGCGGTGTCTTCGTATGGTGTAGGTAAAAACCGTCTAACGGCGCGTTGTATGTTAAGAGCTTTGAGTTGTGTGGAGGGTTCGATAGCACCCACGCCCCCGTGTTTCTTTCGGTTGTAGAGATAGCATTTTGGGATGTATCGGGTAGCTTGTCCCTCGTCCTTGTATTTTGAGGAGGCGAGAAAAATGCCTACTATGCGGTCCAAGGTTTTAGCGGCGTCAGGGGGGGATGGTTGAAACCGGCCGCCGTAGAGTAAACCGACGCAAGTCGTTCTGTTGCGAGTAAGCTACGGCATGTTACCGTGGGATGTATTCTTGATAGGAAGTCGCGGTTAGTCCAGACTTTTGTGAGAATGTTGTCCCACGTGGTTTGTCCTGGTTGGTCTTGTTCGATGTATACACCCAGGATGCGTTCAGCTTCATTTGGTTTACGGATGGGAATGGGACCGGCGTGGGTGATGGTGGAGGGGTCAATGTTGAAGGGGAGGACCGCGCATTTGTCCCAGTTAGGGTGTTCCCCGGAGCATTGTGCGAAGCTCTCGAGGCAAGCCCTGGCAGTTGCTAGCTCAGTGTTGGAGTTCAGGAAAATTGAGACGTCATCAGCGTAGCTAGCCATGAGCCGTCGTTGTAAGGGTGAGATGGCAAAGCCGGGCAGGGCAGCGGCGAGATGTCGTTGAAACACCTCTATGACACAGATGAAAAGGAGGGGGGCGAGGGGGCACCCTTGTCGCACCCTTGTCCTGACTTGGAATCGCGGACCAGCCGCGTTGTTTACCGAGACGTGAGTGAAGGTGTGAGAGTGGAGGCGGCGCACCCATGAGATAAAACCGGGGGGGATGCCTAGGTGGGAGAGGCATCGGTACATGAATTCACGGTCAACCATGTCGTATGCTTTTCGAATATCTACTGTGAGGGCAAGCAGCGGAAGTTTTTGTGTAGATGCCCAATCCATGATATCGAGCGTATCATTAATGGTATCGCCGATGCGCCTCCCTTTGATGAAGGCGGTCTGAGCATGACTGATGATGCGTGGGAGGGAGACTTGAAGGCGGTTGGCTAGGGTGATTGCCAGAAGTTTGTAGTCGGCGTTCATTAAGGTGATTCGGCGAAGGTTTTCGACGAGGGATGCGTTCCCTTTCTTCGGAATCAGGATAGTTCGTCCTTCGCACATGGAGGGGGGAAGAGCGTTCTGTGCGTTGATGCCGGTAAAGAGCTTGTGAATGGCTGGCGCCAAGGTTGCTTTGTAGACGCGGAAAAAGGTCCCCAGGAAGACCGTCTGTGCCGGGTGATTTGCCCCTTGCCAGAATGGAGAAGGCTCGTTCGACCTCGGGCAGACCGATGGGGGCATCTAACCGTGCCGTGCAGGCGGGGGGGAGGGAAGAGGGGTAGATGTGAGTCCAGAATGCAGGGGAGGGGTTGATGGGAGTAGCACCACTGTACAAATTGCAGAAGAAAGTAGTGCAGTGTTGGGTCATGGGGATGAGGTCTGAGATTATGTCTCCAGAGGGGAGCTGAAGATGGGGGATTTGGGAGTCTTTAATCCTTTTGTTTAGTCCTGCCAGAAGCTAGGCCATTCCCATTTCCCTGGGGCCTTCAACTTTAAGCTTGGCTTTCAAAGCTATCTCTGCCGAGCGCGTATTGAGGTATGAGTTTATGCGTTGAAGGTGAAGGGTGAGCTTTTGGGAGGCGGTATGGTCGCCAGGGAACTTCAAGAGATGCATCTGTAGGTGACATACTTCATCCTGCATGTGCGTCAAGGTTTTGGTAACCCGTGTGCGCTCTTCTCTTGAGTAGCGCTTGAGTTTCTTACAGAGAGTAAGTTTGCAGGCATCCCACTGTGCCGGGAGAAGCGGGGAGGGGAGCGAGTTGACAAATTCCGTGACTAGTGAGCTAACATGGGTCTTATGTAAAAGCGGAATTGGTAACTGCCAGGGCCTGGGGGCTGCATTAGGTTGTGGAAGGAGATGGAGCATAGTGGGCCTCTGGCGTGATCCGAAAGGGAATCCGGGACGAAAGAGTAAGATGCCGCCGTTAGTCTGTTGGAGAGGTTATTGGAGATGTAAGTGCGGTCGAGGCGCGAGGCGGAGGGAGGGGGCGGGGGAGGGGGAGGGAGAGTGGCAACTGGTGGTAGAGGGCAGGGGGCAGGGAGGCCCATGTTTGGACCAGAGGGGGGAGGTGTAGGGGCTGTCGGGCCGGAGGTGGATGAGGTTGGAGGGGGAGTGGGACGGGGAGGTGCGAAAAAGGAAAAGGCAGGTGTGTTGGGGTGAAGGAGGCGGAAGGAGTCTACAAGTTCCGCCTCTTCCAGAATCTTACTGACTTGAATGCCTTCTGATCTTTCATATGCTCGCAGATCTCGATTGCGATCAAGAGGACCGAGAACGTTGTTGAAGTCGCCCGTGAGCAGAGTGCCATCACTGGCCGAGGGGTGCTGGAGTAGGGGTACCACGGAATGATCCCACCAGGATTTTCGTTCGAGATAATAGGAGGGCGCGTAGAGGGCTATAAGTCGTAATTGTTCGTTGAGATAGTTGCAGTGAACACTAAGTAATCTGCCATCAGCCGAGGCCAATTTATCTGACAGTTTGACGCGGTGATTGAAGACGAGGATAGCTATACCACCAGGGAAGGTTCGTGAAGGTGTAACGATTGGCGGAACTTGAGCGTAAGCTGTTGGTTTTAGTTTGTATCGGAGTTTGATGAAATTAACGGATAAACGGGTATCTATCAAGACAAGGATGTCTGGCAGGGTCTGTAACCAGGACTTTAGGTCATCCATTTGTTCAATAGAGTTCAAACCATTGATGTTCAAACATTGTATGGTTAGTTGAGTATCCATTATCTAACGGTGTTGAATCCCCTGTGTGCCTTGGCACACACATCCACGGGGTGGTCACAGTCAGAAGCGGCTAAGCTGACAGGAGAGAGATCCAGAATGGTTCCATTATCAAGAGCAGCACAGGCATGAGCAGACCAGTCTAGCAGCAAAGTTGACCCAAGGCTGGGGGGCCTAAGGCCTATCATGTGAGAGTAGTGACTAGTACCGGACGGCCTGTGGGAATTAAGCACCAGCCCACCAGAAGCAGAAATGAAACTCGATCTGACAACCAGAACTGTACACAGACAGGCACGCGGCCATCGTGGGTTTACTCCTCGGCAAGAAATTTCTCCAAAATGTCGTTCTTCAGGAAGTCGTGGGCCTTCATGTCCCCGAATTCCTCCTTGAAAAGGGGGCAGGAGGTCTGCCTGATGCGGCGAAGGTGCTGCATCTCGACGCTGTGAGAGAGAGCAGTGTCGATCGTCCAACCGCTGACAAAATCGCAAGCCGCGCAGGTCCAGGCCTCGACCTCGCTGTCGAGACCAATGAAAAAGAGACCAGGGTCCTGCTTGAACTGGTTGACGGCCGCGTCTGACCGAGAGCTTTGCCTGTCGTGGGAGAAGGAAACCAGAGAGGTAGAGGGGGGAAGAGGTGAAACCGCTTGGGACGCTAGGAGCGCACCCGGGAGGAGCCAAGCAAGAGCAGCATGGGAGGGGAGGTAACGCGGAGCAGATGGTAGGGTACATCGGTTGGAAAGGCAGACTAACAGCCAGACGATCAGACACGAGGAGGGATAAAAACACGACGAGCAGAAGCAAAAGGGCAAGATTGACACTATCAGAGAGAGTGAGGTCTGTTGGACCCAGATAAGTGACAGCCTCTCACCATTAATGTTTTGCAGCTGTGAGACGGAGACCGCAAACGGATTGTTGATCTTGCTCCGACGCTGCGTCGGGAACACGTGGTGGTCGCTCGTGCGGTGATTGCTGGAGCAGATACCACAGGAGTGGCACGACAGGTTAACAAGCAGCGGCTCCCGCACGTTCGGGAGCCAGATCACCGGTGGGGTGACGCTGAAGTTGGAGTCCCCGAGCATGGGAACAGGGATACCGAACATCTGAGTCTGAAAAGTCTCCTCGTACGGGTCATACGCGGTGTGGAAGTGGAGCAGATCGGCAAGCCACTTCTGGCCTGCGCGGTTCTTGCCGTTCGCCAGGATGGAGTGAATCGTTTCCTCGGAGTAGCCCAGGGGGATGTTACGAATGTTGAGGAATGGCTCGCCACGGGCCTTGGCCGCCGTGAACTCCGGGGACGGGTCGATGAAAGCCTTGAGCTCAACGGATGGGCCATGCGGCGGCGCAAAGGTGATCGGGAGCCGGGAGCGGAAGATCTCGGCAATCTCTCGATTGGGCCGCTGGAAGACCTGGCAAGCGTAAGTGTTCTTGCCGACCTTGAGGTTATCACCGGCCAGGGACTTAAAGGCAGGGACCTGACGGTTCCGGTAGTCAGTGCGACGCAGCGACTTCTTAATGCATGAGACAATGTCCTTGCGATGCGCAGCAAGATGCTCGGGGAAAATGATAGCAACGAGGGAGTCAAGATCGCGATCAACCTCCTCCACGGTCTCACCGACAGTGTCGCGCTGAGCACAGAGACGACGGTAACGACGGTCTGGAGCACCCAGCGTGGGAGCAGAGGAAACCTCGACGTTAACCGCAGGAGCGGGAGCGGCTGCCGGGTTGGGAAGCTTGGAAGAAGAAGAGGTGGCGGCGACGCACACCTTCTTAGCGGCGGGAGATCCGTCGCCAAGCAAGTCACTGAACGAGGGAGTGATTCCCCCGTCATCCGCCATCACGGCATCGAAGGCGGCAGAGTGCTCCATGGTAGGCTCAGGGAGGAGGCAAACCGTGGAGAAGGCTGAGAGAGCAAAGGTCTGAACTTGGGTTAAATGCGTAAGCCTGTCCTCGTGAAATTGCCGAGGCGCACGATCGTAAGGGGAGGAAGGAAGGCAAGTTAACCGGGTCGCGTGGTGGCTAAGGCTTTCGCCATGGCGCACCGGTTGGTGATGGACCATCTCACGAGGGATTGTGTGAGAGGCATCGAGTGCTAACGCACATAAGGAGTCAGCTGGCGTGAGAGAGAGCCAGTCTGACGAGGAAAGGGGCCATGCAGTCACCGGCGGACTCAGCGGAAGAAGGCGATTTGCTACGCATACTGCTGGTGCAGGTAGTATGATGTGGCTGGGCCAGGAGGAGGAGCTGCATGTTTGCAACAACCACCACGCGTCAAGCAGAGAAGACCGTAGGGCAGTGGACGGCCGTGCAGACAAGGGAGGGCCTGCAAAAGAGAGCTGAGGTGGGCCAGGAAAACCGAACAGCGGAGAACTTACAAGCCTGGAGTCAGATCGGCGCCGAAGGAGATGAGGGGCGAATGGGGAGCCTTCGGGTTGCCACGTAACTGTGTGGTGGAACACGCAAAGCCCGGGTATGACTTACCTAACGGGTTGAGCCAGGGGTGATGAAAGGGGAACAACCAGAGGATGCCAACGTTATCAACTCGAAGCCACTCATCTTGAACAAAAATCATCCACCTGTCCAACCTGGGAGACAACCACGTGTGAGGGTTAGCAAAAAATGAGAGTGCACTGTCAAATGTTGTTATTGGTTGTAGGCTGCAGTGAGTAGCACTCTAAGGAGTACAACACTCTTAGGGTTTCTATTTGTATGCCTTGCTCTCCTAAGTCAAACATTCCGTTGCATTCACTTTCTGAGATGGTATCACGAGTAGGTTTAGAATCCTTGCCTAGCCTAGCCTACCTCGCGCCCTCCACGCCCTAGAGCGTCTCCGCGCCTTACGCGCCATCCGTCACGTGCCCTCGCACCCTCCGCGCCCTTGCGCCCTCCGCGCCCTTGCGCCCTCCGCGCTCTAGAGCGCCTCCGCGCCTTACGCGCCCTCCTCCACGCGCCCTAGCGCCCTCCGCGCCCTAGCCTCGAGTAACGCGGCCTCCGCGCCCTCCGCGCCCTAGCCTCGAGTAACGCGGCCTCTGCGCCCTCCGCGCCATCCGCGCCCTCCGTAACGCGCCCTCCGCGCCCTCCGTAACGCGCCATCCGCGCCTCCGCGCCTAGCCCTCCCCTACGCGCCCTCCACGCCCTCCGTATCGCGCCTCTGCCCCAGCCCGTCGCGTAACCCGTGGCCCCTGCCCCAGCCCGTCGCGTCGCCCGTGCGCCCTGCCCTAACCCGTCGCGTAGCCCGTGCGCCCTGCCCTAGCCCGTCGCGTAGCCCGTGTGCCCTGCCCCAGCCCGTCACGTCGCCCATGCGCCCTGCCCCAGCCCGTAACGTCGCCTGTGCGCACTGCCCCTAGCCCGTGCGCGCCCGAGCGCCCTGCCCCTAGCCCGCCGCGTCGCCCCGCCCCGCAGGTAGCGCGCCCCGCGGGTAGCGCGCCCCGCAGCGCTTTAGCGCCAGAAAATAAAATTAATTAATTAAACCCTTAAAAAAAAAAAAAGGGTTTTAAGGTGGGGGGCTGCACCTGTCGCCCGCGTTTCTGCTTGCCGGACGACCTGCACAGTTCCCTACCTCCCGCAGCCGTCAGTACTGCAGCCCCTTTGTCGCACGTACTTTCCACTGCCACTGGCTCCACTAGCGGCAGCCGACAGCCGCACTTACAATCTCTAGCTCCAGCCGTTCTCACTCCAGCCGTTCTAGCTCCAGCCACTCCTAGCTCCAGCCGTGCCTAGCTCCAGCCGTTCTCGCTCCAGCCGTTCTCGCTCCAACCGTTCTAGCTCTAGCCGTTTCAGCTCCAGCCGTTCCAGCACCGGTCGTTCCTCGCCTAGTTTCATCAGGCGCTCCTAGCTCAGTGTGCTCCGTGCTCCAGCCGTTCCTCGCCTAGTTTCACCTCGCGCTCCTAGTTGTTCTCGTGGCCGTCCCTAGCTCCTGCCGCTCCTAGCCTTTATCATGGCGTCCACTAGGGTTCTCCAGCAGCAGGGACAGCAGCAGCGGCAGTTTCAGCAGTGGCACCCGCAGCAGCAGTGGCGCCCTCAGCAGCAGCTCTGCCCTCAGCAGTTGTGGCGCCCTCAGCAGCCGTTGCGGCCTGGCGGTTCGGGTAGCGTTGGCTGCAGCAGCGGCCCAGCCGGCTTGGGGGCTCGTCGCGGTGGCCGCGACGTCGGCCCCTGCCAGTACCGGATCCTGACCGGCCCTTGTGCTGGCACTACCTGCTGGCGTCCTGACCACTCTGCACCGCGCTGCTACAGTCGCCTCGACGACCTATACCGTGAGCGTTTTGGGCCTGAGTCGGCTCCCCCGATCTGGCCCGGTTTGTTTCGTAGTGGTTACCCTGTGTTTGATATGTCTATGGATGCTGTTTATTCTGTCACGTACGGATCTCTTGGCTTGCGTGTACCTAGCTTAGGACCTTTGCCTGTTGCTAGTGTAGGTACTTGTGCTTTTAGTGTAGGTGCTTGTGTAGTCACTAGCCCAGCCGTGATGACTGCTGTTGCGACGCTCTCCTTCACGCTGGACTCCGGCGCGTCCCAGTGCTTCTTTCGCGACCACACCACTGTCACACCTCTTTCGGCTCCAGTCCCAGTTGCCCTGGCTGATCCTACTTCAGGACCAGCAGTTGCTCGCAGCTCGACCACTCTCCCGTGCCCAGCTGTCCCCTCTGGTTTCCTCACTGGTCTCTACATCCCCTCGTTCTCTCGGAACTTGGTGGGTGTTGGATACCTTCAGGACCGGGGGATCACAGTCACTTTTCCAGCGCACGGGAGGACTGCGATCTGTACGGACTCTTCCACCGGGGCAGTTCTTGCCACGTTCACCAGAGAGCCCCACTCAGGTCTCTTCGTCCTGCACACTCCGCCCCCGCAGGTAGCTGCGTCTGGTCAGGTTGCTTCGTCCCCCCCGGTAGCAGAGTCCGGTCAGGTTACTGCGTCCCCACCGGTTGCTGTGTCCGGTCAGGTTGCTGTGTCCGGTCAGGTTGCTGTGTCCGGTCAGGTTGCTGTGTCCGGTCAAGTTGCTGCGTCTTGCTCGTGCCGGTCTTTCACCCACCGGACCGTCTTGTGGCACCACCGTCTTGGCCACGCGTCGATCCCCCGCCTCCGCACTATGGCTAGTCACCGTCTTGTCTCAGGTCTCCCTCGCGTCTTCCCGTCGCTCCCTCCCTCGCCCGCGCCGCCGTGCACTCCTTGCGTCGCCGGCCGTCTTCGTGCCACTCCGCACTCCTCCTCCCTTCGTCCGGCCACTGCTCCCTTCCAGACACTCCACTTGGATGTCTGGGGCCCTGCACCTACGCAGGGACCTGAGAGGAAGCGCTAATTTTTGGTGGTCGTCGACGACTTCTCCAGGTACACCACGGTGTTTCCTCTCGCGAAGAAGTCCGAGGTGACTTCTACGCTGATCCGGTGGCTTCTAGCCACTGAGGGCACTCATGGCCGTCGTGTCTCCTGTCTCCACTCTGACCGTGGGGGTGAGTTTCGCTCAGGCATTCTTGCCGGATTCTGCGGCGAGCAGGGCATTGTACAGTCCTGGACGCTGCCGGAGTCCCCACAGCAGAATGGGGTTGCTGAGCGCCGCATTGGCTTGGTCATGGACATCGCCCGCACGTCCATGATTCATGCCCGTGCGCCCCATTTTCTGTGGCCCTACGCGGTTCGTTACGCCGCTCACCAGCTGAACCTCCAGCCGCGCGTCTCGCGGCCAGGGGCTTCACTGACCAGTCTTTGGACCGGGTCCCCTGGTGTTGGGTCAGCTTTTCGAGGTTGGGGCTGCCTTGCGCTTGTCCGCGACACCTCTGCGGACAAGCTCTCGGCTCGCGCCGTCCCCTGTGTCTTCCTTGGTTTCCCGGTAGCCTCGGCCGACTGGTCCTTTTACCACCCGTCCCTCCACCAGTTCCTAGACTCCCGTGACGTCCGGTTCGACGAGTCAGTGTCCTACTACACCAGGTACCCCTGTCGAGGTCTCCCGGTTCCCCTTCCCCCTCTTTTCCTCGCACCCTCTCTTCCCCCTGCTCCCGCTCCTCCGGTACCCCCACCCCCCCCTGGTCCTGCCCCGTTAGGTGTGTCTCACGCTACCCCTCTACCCTCGGTCGCACGTCAGGTAGCGGCTCCCTCCCCGCAGTCCTCCTCACAGTCCCCTCAGCAGCCTTCGGTACTTCCGCAACAGGTTACTGTGGACTCGGTTTGCTTTGGAGCGGGAGGTGCAGCCACTGGCGGTACTCGGTCCGGGGGTGCTCGTTTGAGGGGTGCTGGAGTTGGAGGTGCTGGCGCAGGTGGCGCTAGCCCTGGGGGTGCTGGAGCTGGAGGTCCTGGCACTGGAGGTGCTAGTCCTGGGGGTGCTGGAGCTGGAGGTGCTGGCGCAGGTGGCGCTAGCTCTGGGGGTGCTGGAGCTGGAGGTGCTGGCACTGGAGGTGCTAGTTCTGGGGGTGCTGGAGTTGGAGGTCCTGGCACTGGCGGTACTAGTTCTGGGGGTGCTGGAGCTGGAGGTGCTGGCACAGGAGGTGCTGGTTCTGGGGGTGCTGGTGCTGGAGGCGCTGGCACTGGAGGTGCTGGTTCTGAGGAGACTGGAGCAGGAGACACTGGTTCTGCGGAGTCCACTCCGCCTCCCCACCGCCACGACACACGTCTCCAGGCGGCCCGTCGGCGTGAGCGTGAGGAGCAGGTGCTGTTGGAGAGGGAGCGGCAGGAGTTGCGGCAGTTGGACCTGCTGGAGCAGCAGCAGCAGCAGCAGCAGCAGCGGCGGCGGCAGCAGCAGCAGCAGCAGCCGCAGCAGCAGCAGCCGCAGCAGCAGCAGACACCGCCGCCGCAGCTGCGACCACAGCAGCTCCCTCTGGAGCGGCAGTTGTTCCCACCCGTGAGTGGCCTTCGGGCCCTTGGTCTTCCCTCCTCTCCTCCTGTTCACACTCCGTCCCCTCCAGCGTTTGGTCCCACGCCAGTCCGGCGGTCTGGTCTTCTCCTCCACCGCAGTCTCCTCCACCTGGTGTCCCGCACTCTCGTGTCCGTCCCTGTCCTCCGCGTGCTCGTCCCTCGTCTCCCGTTACCGACCTCCGCACTGCCCTCCTTTGTTCGTCTCTTCGTCGTCCTCCTCCTGAGTCCGTTCTCCCGTGTCCACCTCCGTCCTCTCTCCCTTTCCCCCCTACTCCTGTCACTGACTACTACCGCGCTGTTCGTCCTATTGTCTCTCGTGTCCTCGCCACTCTTGTCACCGACTCTCGTTTCCCTCCGTCGTCTGTCTCGGCTCTCACTGCCGCTGTCGCTGAGTTTGCTGCCGCCAGTCACCTTGACTACACCACCCGTGTGGTGCCAGCTCCTCCCTCCCGTCCTCTGTCCGTCGGGGGTGGGTTTGCCCTTGGCTGTGACGTCCTAGAGGACAGAGAGTCTGAGCTGGAGTACTGGGCAGCCGCTTCTCCTTCTGTCTGTGCCATGCTGCTATCCCCTGAGGGAGACCCCGACGCCCTTGACATACCGACTCCTCGCACTTACCGCGAGGCAGTGTCAGGGGCGTGGGCCTCACAGTGGAAAGTGGCTATGGCCTCGGAGTTAGCGTCTTGGAGATCCACAGGCACCTACGTCGACGCAGTTCCCCCTCCCAGGGCGAACGTAGTCGATGGCATGTGGCTCTTCAAGGTGAAGCGGCTGCCTGGTTCACCGCCTGTGTTCAAGGCGCGCTACGTGGCTAGGGGTTTCAGTCAGCGTGAGGGAGTTGACTTCTTCCAGACCTTCGCCCCGACCCCGAAGATGACTACTCTTCGGGTGTTACTGCACGTAGCAGCACAGCGAGACTACGAGCTGCACTCCCTTGACTTCTCTACTGCGTTTCTCCAGGGCCGACTACACGAGGAGATCTGGCTGCGCCGCCCTCCTGGCTTCACTGACACCTTCCCACCTGGGACCCAGTGGAGCCTGAGACGGCCAGTCTACGGTCTCCGCCAGTCGCCTCGTGAGTGGCACGACACTCTTCGCTCCACGCTTCGTGACCTTGGGTTTTGTCCTTCCTCTGCCGACCCGTCGCTGTTTGTTCGCACTGGTTCCACTCCTTTCTTTATACTAGTGTACGTCGACGACTTGGTCTTTGCCACAGCAGACAGGGCAGCTCTGGCTCAGGTGAAGTCCGAACTGCAGAAGAGACACACGTGCACTGACCTAGGTGAACTGCAGCGCTACCTTGGCCTGCAGATCACCAGGGACAGAGCCGCTCGCACCATCACACTGACGCAGTCACACATGGTGCAGCAGGTCCTTCGGCGGTTCGACTTCCAGTTCTCCACCACACAGCCCACACCTCTTGCTGTTGGCCACAGACTCACTGGCCCCTTTCCCGACGAGCCTTTTGAGCCCAGTGGTCCCTACGCAGAGCTGGTGGGCTGCCTCATGTACCTGATGACTTGTACTCGGCCGGACCTCGCCTTTCCCCTCAGCGTCCTCTCTCGCTTTGTTGCGACTGAGAGACACCGTCCTGTCCACTGGACAGCTGCTGTGAGGGTGGCGAAGTACCTGGCGACTACATCAGGCATGGGGCTTGTGCTTGGAGGGACTCAGCCAGTGGCGTTGACTGGTCACTGCGACTCTTCCTACGCTGACGACGTGGAGACTCAGCGCTCGACTCAGGGTTACTGCTTCAGTCTGGGAGCTGGTGTTGTGTCGTGGAGGTCTACACGGTCGTCGTCTGTGGCTACTTCCAGTGCAGAGGCAGAGATCTACGCTGGTGCCATGGCGGCACAGGAGCTTCGCTGGTTGACCTTCTTGCTCGCCGACCTTGGTGAGCGGCCTCGCTCTGCACCGACCTTGTACGCTGACAACAAGGCCATGATCCTCCTGTGTCGAGAGCCTCGACTGGAGAGCAGAGTGAAACATATTGACGTGAGGTACTTCCTCCTGCGAGAGCTGCAGCGACGCGGCCAGGCACACCTGGACTTTGTGGCCTCAGAGGCCAACACTGCAGACGTCTTCACCAAGGCCTTGGCGCTTGGTGATCACCACAGGTTTTGTGTGCAGTTGGGGCTTGTTGAGGTAGGCCCTCGGTTGCTGTAGTCTTGTTGCTTGCTCTGCTTGTTGTGTTTTCATATATATATCCTAGTGAACTCTTGAACTGGCCTTGTGGTCGCTTGCTTGCGCTCGGAATTTGTGTGGTGTCCTTGAGATCCACCCTGAGCTTGCCTTGTTTCTTGCTTTGACTAGTCTTGTGACTGTTTGTTCACCATGCTTGCTTTGATGCCCCTCACTTAGCCTACGGGGGTGTGTCAAATGTTGTTATTGGTTGTAGGCTGCAGTGTTCACCATGCTTGCTTTGATGCCCCTCACTTAGCCTACGGGGGTGTGTCAAATGTTGTTATTGGTTGTAGGCTGCAGTGAGTAGCACTCTAAGGAGTACAACACTCTTAGGGTTTCTATTTGTATGCCTTGCTCTCCTAAGTCAAACATTCCGTTGCATTCACTTTCTGAGATGCACCTACCGTCGCCCAGCCGAGAATGAGAAACAATAGTCCAGGAATCCTGGAGGTCCGGAATGAGGCTAGAGGGAACAGGTGTCTTGCTAACAGGTGAGAAGTCTTGGGAAGGCGGAGAGCAGGGAGGAGACATTTTTCCGGTGCGAGTTGTCTGACGTTTTTCTGGGGTTTTCCTCAATTCTGGTAGCACACTACACATGGGTGGGCGGGTTTCACTTCTAGTACATCACTTCGACATCCTTGCCAGCAGGCAGCTGTACATCATTAGCTTCATAGCACAATCAGTCCCTCCATGGAACCTAAAGCCTAGCACAACTGGCAAGGGGACGCTGCATCCCACATAAGCTAAAATCCAGCAGATGCACTTGCAGAACGCTACCTTACACCCCGTAAGAGTAGCACTCAAATGGCCACTGGTTGACATCGAGATAGTACCTATCCTGATTCTTGAACGTGACCTGCTGCACACATGGATGGGCTATTCTTGTACCTGAGTACAGCACTCTAAACTCCCTGCCAGCGCGCAGCTGCACGCCCCAATCAGTGGTGTTAATCGCCAGCTCGCAGAAATTTTGACCACGAGCTTTGCAGCAATTGTTAAACAAGAGCTTTCCAGTCTGGAAGTTAGTGTTGCCGGCTGCAAAAATCGTACCCATTTGGCAATTCCAGAATATAAGCCTGCAATTACAGGTGCGTGGACACTCGTGAGCGCATGAACGAATGATTACAAGGACAGAGCCAGAACAAGTTGACACGAAACAAATCGCGACAATACAAGACACTGTTGTTCAAACAGTATTAATACCTGCCGATGACGTCATAGGGGCACAAGTTCTTGATAATTAGCTGGATCACCTTGGTGCCGTTGCCCTGGTCTGACACGACGCGGTTGGTAACAAGGATTGAGTTCTGGTCACATGCTGGGGTGCAGAGAGAGCGGGCGGGTGGGGTTGGAGAGCGGAGTTCATAAGAATAAGCAGAATCGAGTCCTTGCTGCATGCTAAGGTGCAGGCAGGGAAAGTGGAATTGGGAAGAGGAGCTCATGCAAAAGAACAACCAAGGTAGAGCGAGGAAGGCACTGGTGTGAGTGGGTCCCCACTGAGTCACAATGAGTCAGAATGAGTCACGATGAGTCACACTGAGTCACGATGAGTCACAATGAGTCAAGATGCGTCACAACTCGCCAAGCACGCACTGCAGCAAGCAACTTACAAACTTGCTGCCGCTGGAGCGACCTGCGCACATGCTCCTCCGCTCCCGGAACCGCCACTGCAGTAGATTCAGCCTCGCTATTGGCAATCCCGCTAACATAACGGTCGATATCCCCGTCGCTGACGTCACTTGCGGAGATGGAGCGGGCGACGGCAGATCCGTGGGTGGAGAGCGACGGCGCGACGGAGAGGGCGAGGACGAGGAGGAGAGGAAGCAGCAGAGGCAGGCGAGAGCTCGCCATTCTGCCTGACTGGCTTGAGAGACTCTGAAGGTTCAGTAAAACAAGGTTTTTTTTTCACGGTGAAAAAGGTTCATAACTTGATTCAAGCTAGAGTTGCGGATGGCTGGGACCAGCTAGGTGACTGGATGTAGCTGGAAGGGCCAGAGCAAGAACACGAACTGCTGGCAGTCGCGGTACATAAACGTCGAGATACCCATCGCGGGAACCGAGGCGCGAGGTGCGAAACGACCTCCTGATAGCAAGAGGAGCGAGACGGCTCGGATATGAAAGACCGCCTAACAGTTAGAGCGGCCATAACCGTCGAGTTTGAGAACATCCTGACTCACGAAGAACCTCTCCTGCGGCAGTTTTGGTCAACGAACCGCTGCGAGAGAGTGGCGGGTAAATCGCGGGCTAAAAGAAAGAAACCGCCACGATTGAAATTCTAGTAAACCGCTAGCTGCAACGATGTACTGTAGACGCTCGGTCGCGTCGCCTTGAATCCACTGAGCCCAACAACCACCCTAGATGATTGGCTGGGCAAGGATGAGTGTGAAAATACCTCATGCGAAACCGCAAAAAACCCGGTATTTCTCTGTTAGATAAATCTACGAGATGGGTATGAGGGGAAAAGCGAAAATGGACTCTCGTTAGCACAACTACCACAACAGCCGCCTAATAAGGAGGAGTGCCACGCACGCTTTGTTCAATTTTCTTCAAGCTGACTAGAATGGAGTGGAGTGTATTTGCAGAGCAGTTTGTTGGTTTCATCGCTTTAAACCGCTACATACCAGCCTGTACCCGCCTGCTGAATCTTTCAGCAATCTAACCGCACCGCACACTTGTTTCCAGCTGTACATGTTATGCTATAAAATGAAATGCTTAGGCAAAATGATAAACACATTACATTTTCAGCTTATTCAGTGCGCCACCACCAACCCACTATCAACAACACCCATCCTTTCCTGGATAAGCACCAGGCACCACAAACAACAGCGCCTACCCTGTCCAAGACTCCGCCCAACACACGGAATGGAACACACACACGCCGAGTTACATTCCAAGGGTGGAGCATTCCTGCGGCCACTTATCGACATTGAGATAGTAGCGCATACCATTCCTGAACGTGAGCTGCTGCACACACGGGTAAACTGGTTTCGTGTTAAAGTACAGCACTTTGAACTCCCTGCCAGCTGGCAGCTGCACGCCCGTAACACTGGGGTTGATCGCCAGCTCGCAGAAATTCCGACCACGAGGTTTGCAGCAACTGTTAAACAAGGGCTTTCCAGTCTGGAAGTTGAGGTTTCCACTACACAAACACAAACCTGCAATCCAGTCCATGCACACACGTGAATGCAAGAGATTTAGCATTACAGACATAAAATCAGGACGGAAAAATGCATTGTTGCTGAACTCATAAACCGAGCATTACCTGCCGATAACGTCCTCAGGGCACGTGTTCTTTATGAAAAGCTGGTACGTAGCGGAGCCATTCATGTTATCCGAAACTAAGCGGTTGGTAAAGCGAATGGAGTCCTTTCCACATGCTGTGGTGCAGGCAGGGCGGGAGGGGTTGGGAGGAGGTGTTCATGACAAGGCACAACCAAGGTAGAGTTAGGAATTGAGGAAAAGAAACGACGAACGAGGAACGAGGATGAGAACCGAGTGAGACAGCTCATGAAAGGAAGCTCAAGACGCGAAGGCACACATCCTAGGGAGCACGTGACAGATGTAAACAACTCACTGGCGTGAGCTGGTCACCAGAACAAATGGTAACAATTGAGCCATAACTCGCCACGCGCGCACTGCAGCTAGCAACTCACCAACTTGCTGCTGGAGCTTCCTGCCACCATGCTCCTCCGCTCCCGGCACTGCCACCGCGGCAGAGTCCCCCTCGTTACTGGCACTCCCCCTAAGATAGCTGTCGATATCGCCGTCCCTGACTTCAATTCCGGAGATCGAATGGGCGACGGCGGATCCGTGGGGGGAGAGCAACGGCGCGAGGGAAACGGCGAGGACGAGGAACAGCGGAAGCAGCAGAGACAGGCGAGAGCTCGCCATTCTGCCTGACTGGCTTGAGAGCGAGAGAGATGGATAGAGCGGGGAGTTTAATTCGGGTTAGCTGATGCGTGTGACCAGGCTGGGTGACTTGGTGAGGCTGGAAGAGGAAGAGCAAGAATACGAACTGCTGCCAATCGCGGTACATATACGTCGGAGTATCCATCGCAGGGACGAGGCGCGAAACGCCTTCCCGATCACAAGAGCAGCGGGGCGGCTCGGATAAACGAGGGCCTGGTGTTGCCTGGTTCAGCCGCCTAACAGTTGGTGCGTCCGTCTAACCATTGGAACAGCCATCTAACCGTCGGAACTGAGAACAAGGTTCCCACTGGCAGCTGAATTCCGACTGAATCCGACTCGCCGCGGGAGCCTCGCCTGCGCCAGTGGCAGTTGAAGTCAACGGGCCCCTGCGAGAGAGTGGCTCGGGAATCGCGCGGAAAATTAGGGTTCGCGTCCGAGCTTCTCGCAAACCGCCAGCTGCAACGATGACCCGTAGATGCTCGGTCGCGCCGCCTTGCATCTGCTGCTTCGGCTGAGCCTAACAACTGCGGAGCGTCGTCCATCGCGTCCTTGAACCCGCTGCTGCAGTTTCGACTGGGCCTAACAACCCTGGACGGGATGTACGGGGCAACGCGGAGTGTGCTGTGACGAGATCGAGCACGAAACCGCAGTGATGCAACAGCCATGGTTACCGCAAACCTCTGTGGTGTCCAGCCCGCGAAGCCAGAGAGACCTGGCTACAGTACTCGTCAATAAAAGATTTCTACCGGAAAAGGGAACACGAAGACGGATGCCTGTGAGACGCTGTAGATGAGTGCAACTGCCGCAACAGCTGCTAACAGCTGCTGCTTGTCTCTCTCTTGCTCGGCTCTCCAGCAGTATGCCATGCAGCCTTCTGCAAACCGCTGAATATCTGGTAATCTAACCGCTTTCCACCACTTAGCAAGATTTTCCACAGCAAAATATGTCTGCATCTTGTCATTTATGAACAATCGGTATTATCATAATTTTGACATTTTTCGGATATTTATCGAAAATATAGAGGTGCTACATGCGATAGTTAAATTGACATAGAAATATCTCTTGAAGGTTCCGATATTGTCTGTTGCCATAGCTATATACTTCAAATATGTGTGGGACAGACACTAATTTATATGGAATCTGCTAATGGAATGCATGAAATCGTCGGTGGCGAGGTTCAAGTAATAGGTTTATTTTTTCCCCGCCTGTCATCCCGCGCGTGCTCGCGCGAACCCACCACACCAAGCTCTGTCATGAAGCTCACCACAGCGCATTTCGGAGACATGCCCGAGCCAATTGCGGCGGCGGTGGACTTTGCCACCCTGCGTGAATTCGTAACTTTCTGGATCCGTCATTTCAGGGAAGCGAGTTGGGGGTGCTTCCCGGCCTGTAATGGCTTTCACAGCCCACCTCAGTTGCCTGCCAGATGGGGGTGCTGGATGGCTTTCATTGGTCGGTGGATGGCTACTCCTGATCTTCATGTCGGCGGGGTTCCCGTTCAACGGGAAAGTTTCCTGAAAACGCGGCACGTGGGGTACTACATATCATGGGCTGCTCCGCGTGCGACTAGCACCTATAATCGGCATAGTATGCTAGTATGCGCTTGGTACTCAGTAGTTTTAGTACTGCGACCGTTCGACCATCCCCAGCAATTTCTTCCAATTCTTTGCCAGCGACGGAGGATCAGGCGACTCACCAAGTCGGACTTTTGAGTCAACTTTTAGTCGAAGTCGTGTCATAGTGTAGTACTCCTAGAAAGGTTACTGGTTTGGTAGGAACTATCGTAGTGACTACCTGGACCGGCTTTCCGCACTACCACCAACCGTCTTGCTACTGCTTGTTGGTAACTACTAAGTCGTCAGCCGCAAAGCGCTGCATTCCATCCCCATTCGCCAAACCATGGGGACCTTTTACGGACACGCGACCCCGGGCTGTCTGCTCCTCTTCCTGGGCCTCTGGAACTTTCGCTGCTCGGTTATAAACTTCCTTGCCTCTCCGCAGTCCTTCGCCGCGCGCGTGTGGCATCCCATGCCGCTTCCCGGGCACTGGGCGCGAATGCAGCTGTACGCCGTAGTGGGAGGCGGGGCGGCGTACATGATCACCGAGTTTATTAACATCTTTATACAGTCATATGTCCTTCTCAACAGCTACGAGGTGCGTATGGCCGTGTGAGGGCGGAGAGGGATGGAGGGGGGAGGTTGAGTCGACTCAAATGTAGCCTCTTTATACAGTCGTATGTCTGTCCTCCTAGCTACTAGGTGCGTGCGGCTGTGCCGGGTGTTGGGGGAATGTGGGACGTGACTATATCTACTTTTTTCATGTCATTTGCTTAGCTAAATTAGCTGCAGCCTAGACTCGCTCTTAGATGCTACTTTTAACTCGCTTCATGTAAGTTGTGCGAATCCCCTCGTCCCTCCACATCTCTCGCAGCATCTGTCGGCCAATGTGGCGCTCGTGGTGACCTACAGTGTGTTCCTCCTTCATGACTGCTGCTCCAGGTAGACCTTGACTTGCCTTTTCCCACCATTCCCTTTCAATCCGTCAATTACCGTTTTCCTTGTTAATATCTCCGTTTGCTAACCAACTAAAGCGACAGCTCTAGGGTAAGTTGGTGCTGCTAGTTGTTGGTGCAACCCTACGGTTTGCACTCGGCTTGTTGTCCGTGTGCGTGAATGTGTGTGTGTATGGAATGGTATGAGGGCATGGGATAATATATATTTCATGCTTATAATTGTGTGTGAATGTTGAGTCATGATGTCGAGTGTGTGTGTCGAGTCAATAGCGAGTTATCGCTAGACGCGTGTTACGCGGTCGTTTGTGTCTCGCGCGCGGTTTCTATTTTGTCCTGTGTCGAACGTTCGGCGTGTCGCAGGTGTGTGCAGCAGACCCATCAAGAACTCAAGGATGAGTTTGTGATGAAGAGCCCGAGCCTTGGTGTCAAGCCTCAAGTGATTTCGAAGCTTGCCAAAAGGGTACACCTCAAGATATTGAAGATAGTTACATTACTTTGTGTAGTGTAACATTTCACTTGGTGTAGGCCCTAGTGAAGGGTAGTTTCGAGACCCTTCGTGGTTGGGGACAGTGTGGCACTGTTCCACATCACTGTACCTCGGCTCTTGGGGTTTGTAGGAGCTGGGAGTCATTCCCAACTCGTAACTCTTCCTATCTTGTGTTCTAAGACTATAGTGGCTGCCATAGTACCGTTCGTTCAAACCGACGCTGTGTCGTCAATTCTTTATCAAATCGTGCAATCTAAATTGCTAATTGTAGACGACGTGAAGACGCTCCAGATCCAATTTGAATCAAGTCATTTACAGCTGTGAGCAGAACGCTATCAACGTTTGAAGCCGCTGTGCAGAAATCCGTCTGTGCTCTCTATCTTTCGTTTTAGGCACATTCAAGCCTATTGTGACTATAACAAGTGGTATCAGAGCCCCTTGGAGCAGTTTCGACAATGTCTGGACCTGAAGAAAGGGGTGGCAGAGGTGCTGGTGGCAGTGGAGAAGCTCAAGCTCAAGGCCAACCCCGTGATTCAGCCATGGCGCCCATGCAACCAAGTCTTGGCCCACCTAGGGATGAGCCTAGGGTGTTTGGGCTTGACAAGTTCAACGGTGACAACTTTGCTGAATGGTCCTTCAAGATGGAGAACATCTTTGACCACTATGACCTGCTGGAGGTGATGGAAGGAACGGAGAAGCGCCCCGAGAACGACCCGGAGAAGAGCCCGTGGGTGCGGAAGAGCGCACAAGGCTATCTCTTACTTGGGCAAGCGTTGGGGAGCAGTCAGATCCGTCACATCAAGCCATTCCAGCGTGAACCAGAGAAAGGACCAAAGGCATGGGCTGCTCTCAAGGGTGTACATGCTCCTGCAACAGCGGCGGTAGCGGTGGTGTTGGAACGGCAAATGGCGGCACTACGAATTGAAGAAGACGAAGCGGTTGAAGAAGGGGTGCAGAAATGCTTCGACTTGTTGACGCGGCTTGAGGGAGCTGATTTGAACTACAGGGAGCTCCAAAAGAAGACCAAGTTGCTGGCCTTACTCCCAGAGTCATGGTCCTCGCTCATCATCAACCTTAATCGCGACTTGCCCCGCCTCTCGCTTGAAGACGTGAAGCGAGCTATCCTTCAAGAGGATTTCCGCCGCCGTGAGTTGGCGAGTGCGGATGGCGCTGGGGCAGCGAGCATCGGCCGTGGATATGGTCGAGGAAGAGGCAGAGGACGAGGGGGAGGAAGGTTTGGTGGCAGCAACTTCGGCGGAGGTCGCAGGAGTGGCGGTTACGGCAGCGACGACAAGAGCTACGGACGCGGTCGCGGCCGATTCGACGGCGAGTGTCACTATTGCCACAAGAGCGGACACATGTGGCGCGACTGCTACAAACTCCCTGATGGTTGGACCCCTGCTCAAGGCCAAGAGGGTAGAGGAGCAGGAGGAGGGAGAGGACGAGGCCGTGGAGGCCGTGGCGGTCGCGGTGGCGGAGCTGCAAACATGAAGAGCGGAGACAACGATAAGGACCCGAGCGATGATCGATACCCGGGTCTATTCTACTTCGTGTCGACGCAAGTACCGGCTGGTCCAGAGAAGGATGAAGGCTTTGAGGAGCCAGCAGCTGTGGGGAAGGTGACCCTACACCCCCTGGACTATTGGGTGATTGATAGTGGCGCTACCTATAGCATGACACCTCGCCCGGACTTGCTCACCGAACTCGAGCCGTCACCGGTGAAGCATGTCACGTCGGCTTTGGGGCAGCGAGCAGAGGTGAAAGGCATGGGCAAGGCCATGTTCAAGGGTGCTGATGGGAAGATGGTGGGCCTCAAGAACGTGCTTTGGGTGCCCAGCCTTGCTGCAAACCTGATTTCCGTGCGGCGGTTGGCAAAGGCCGGCATGGACACGAACTCGAAGGGAGCCAAGACCTACACCGCAAGGCTTGGCGATCGAATTCTTTGGGACCTTCATGAGGACAGGGATGTCTACAACGAGATGT